TTGAGAAGCTGGGGTTTTTTCTCTGTCTGGACACATTCAAAAACTACTTGAATTCTGTGTAAACTCTTGTTTTTAGTTGTGTTCCTTATTCCAGTGATAAAACTCTGAAGGTGACTGCTGCTTCTGTATTTGCACCATCACAGTGATCCTCTAAACGTGTGCTGGAGAATCATCCTGTTTGTGCTTTTTTGGGCAAAGCTGTATTGTTTTAGTAGGAAATGTTATACTTTTTTCTGTGTTTTTCTTCTTCACCATCACATAGAATGTGGAAGTTAAGATTTTATGTACACTTCCATAAGTAGCTCTTGGTGACACCAGGGCATGTTCCTCTTTGTGTGTCGGTGTTTTTGTGTTAATTGTGTTGTTGCAGGACAGTTATTTTCAATGTCTCCTTTTTAAACAGCTCCTCTGGGAGTGTGTTTTATTAAAAGCTGACAGAGTAGCATTTTAGGCTCATGCACATGATTTCAGGGCAGGATTTGTGGTGATGCCCTGCTTGATGCACAAGCTGGGAGAAGTGTCCTGTGCCAGCTCCTGAGATGCCCCTTGCCCATGGTAAAAAGAATATTTAAAACAATCAACAGGCATCTTTGGATGCAGCATTAAGGCAGCTTCAGGTATTCTTAAATGCCTTCTGAAAACATCATTCCTTGTTACAGGCAGGCTCTCCAGCTCTTTTTCCCCTTCCTTTTAAGAAAAAGGATGAAATCATGGGAGCTGGGTGTGCCCCCGCAGCTGGGTGTGCCCCACACGGAGCTGGGATCCTGCACGTTCCCTCTCGGCCTGTTTATCCTTGCTAGCCAAAATTGGGCTTTCATGGCAGCCAATTAACCAATTAACTGTTTGATTCCTCTTGCTCACAAAACCCATTGGGATTGAAGAAGCCCTGGAGTTAGCTGAGGATGTCTCGAAGGAAGTGGAGGTGTTGCAGCAGGCTTTGAAGGTGCACCGCTGCCTGCTGGGTGTTTGGCATTGGATCCTGTGCATGGGCTGCCTGTGCAGGGTCCCTGGCCAGCCTGCCCTTTGATGGTTTTGCCTCACGGAGTCTGGGAAGATGAGGTGAGGTGTTTGGGGTCGGATCCCCGTGCAGGATTCCTGGCCAGCCTGCCCTTTGATGGTTTTGCCTCACGGAGTCTGGGAAGATGAGGTGAGGTGTTTGGGGTCGGATCCCCGTGCAGGGTCCCTGGCCAGCCTGCCCTTTGATGGTTTTGCCCCACAGAGTCTGGGAAGATGAGGTGAGGTGTTTGGGGTCGGATCCCCGTGCAGGATTCCTGGCCACCCTGCCCTTTGATGGTTTTGCCTCAGAGTCTGGGAAGATGAGGAGATGCTGGTGGTGCTGACCTGAGTGAGGACTTGGGTGCCTGATGTGGTTCAGGGGGTGAGAAGGGTTTGGCCAAGGTCCTGTCTCTTTTAACAGCTTTGCCAGGGGAACTCAGGCAGTGTGGGTGTGCTGCTTGGGGTTTGTCTTCAGTCTGGAGTCTCCAAAAGCCCCAGAGCTGGGATGTGCCCCCTGCCCAGAGCTCAGGGAGTGGGAGGAGAGGGCAGCACCAACTCTGCCATTTCGTCCCACAGGTTACACACCCAGGATGATGATCTCTCAAACCAAAGGCATGCCCTGGTTGGATTAGGGGTGAGCAGAAATACCAGGTGGGATTTAGGAAGAGGCTGCAAGGAGAAAGGAGAGCTGTGCCTGGTCTGGGGATGTGGTGGTGCTGGTGTTGATGTGCTCAGTGTGCCTGGAGCAGCCTGGAATGGTGCCTCAGGAATACACACAGGGGAGGCTGGGCCAGGAGTTTCTGTGAATTCCCTGCTGGCTTTCAGCTCTTCCTGTTGAGCTGGAGCAGAGGCGTGAGATCTGAAGGCTTGGTTGTGCAGGGAAGTCTCAGCCACAGGGACTGTTCAAAGTACAGTGGGACACTGCAGGAGGAGTGACTCAAACCACGTGGAGTTCAACTTCCTAAAAATGGAAATACTCTCCTGTGCTTTAGGCCTGTTCTCTGATTTTTTAAAGAATTTTTGAACTTCTCTTTTGCCAGATATGGCAACTAAGATGACTTTGGCCCTTGCTGCAGGGACATTGTTCTGGCTCTGCTCCTCCTTCACTCTTTAGCTCAGGCCACCTGGGAAAAGGGGAATTTTAGCAGGATCATCTTGGTAGCACCAGGTACAAGGCAGCAAGTTCTTCATCTTCCACTTCCAGGGCTGTGCAGGGAGGAGCAGAGGTGCTGTCCTTGTTCCCAGAGGATGGGGTGGGAGTGGTGGGAGCAGTGCATTTTAGTGGATATTAAAGCTTTGTTACAACTTCAAATGGTCTGAGAACAGAACTGCTGCAGTTTCCTACCTGCTGCAGTTAATTGCCAGCAGTGCTGATGAGCAGCCAGGCCTTGGTCACCTGCCTTTCCAAGTACCCCTCCTTGCTTTCCCTGAGCATGGGAACATCTCCCTGCTGGTGCTGTGGAGGATTGGGTTGGAGTGGGAAGTTGTCTGAAGTACAGAGCTAAGGAAGCCCCACGAACTTCCTCTATATATACACATTTCATGCTGGTGTGATTTTAATGGCCTTGTGCACATTACAGGCACTTAAAATAGCTCTGTGTGGAGATTGGGTGATTAGATACCAACAAGTCTAACTTGTATCACAGTCAAACTATTTGCTCTAATAAAAAATGTAAAAGAGTTAAAGAAAGCTAAACTAAATCCCCACACAGTCAAGGTGACTCCCCATGAGGGTGTTTATCATTTACTGCGTTACAAAAGGTTGGGGAGGAGTGGTTAAAAGTGTCATTAACTGGTGTCTTTCTAATGACTAATTTTACATTGACCTGGGCAGGTACAGCCAGATCAGCTCTGGGTTTGCACCACTCACATCTCCAGTGAATCTTTGTTGTAATGTTCCTTTTGTGTGACAGTGTTGCTACAAATGATGGGTTTTCTTCAGCTCTAAGAGTTACAGGAAATGTTGATGCAATTTTAAAAGGTGATGCTTATCTCTGTAAAAAAATAGTGAAGGTCTTTATAAGTACTTAACCCTCTATTTGGAAAACAGATATGTGAAATTCTTTGTTAAGATTATAATATTCTGGATATATAGCTGTATGTAATTCCTGATCTTGGTGTATTGGTGAGAATGAACCACCCGGAACCAGAGCATTCCTACTCCCTGCCTCGAAATTTGCTTTTAATAGTAAATGCCATGGACTCAGACTGTTCCAGTTGGCTTTAACTGATCAGTGTCTCTAATTAAATCTGATATTTATCTGTGTTGAAATCCTACATATGTGACAAATTGGATTGCAGTCTCAAGAATGTTCTTTTCAAGCCTCAAACTTCTAAAACAAGTTTGTCATGAATGCCAGAATGATCCCAGGAGTTTGCTCGCCACATTCCAGTGCCAGGTCCCTCTCTCAGCCCTGGTGGCCACCTGTGGTTACATGAGTTCAACAGGTTGCAGGAGAACTGGAGAAAAAAGTGATTTTTCACATAAAATGTAAGTTGCGTTCATGGGTTTGGTATCAGCACAGCATTGGGTTATGCCAGTGCTTGTACCTTGTTTGCAAGGCAGGGAAATACAGCAAACCTGGTGCCTTAGAAAGCATCAAAGATCTGATCTCACACCCTGGGTTTGGGCTGCTCTGGGCAGCCTCTGACGTTTCAGAGCAATAGGCAAGGTGAAGCCAAATGGGGAACAAATGTAAGAGGCAGAAATGTTCCTGAGGTGAGAAGACTCATGTTTTAAAAATTGACTGATGGGTTGAAATTTTCTTGTTGAGAACGCAGTAGCTGGGTTTGCACAGCTTTCAGAGTCATGCTCTAGCAAGTAATTTATTATTTTTAATAATCAGCTGTCTAAAGACATGAAATAATGATTTTCTAAGCAGCCAGCATTTTCATTTTAGACTGCAAATTGTGTGGTGGAACGTCAGTGTCTTTCCTGGATGCACCAACTGTACTTTGTGCAGATCAGTGAGGAATATTTCTGACTCTCTTGGTGCAGAGTGTAGCACACATTGTGGCTGCCCCTGCATCCCTGGCAGTGCCCGGGCCAGGCTGGACAGGGCTGGGAGCACCTGGGACAGAGGGAGGTGTCCCTGCCATGGCAGGGGGACACTGGGTGGGCTTTGAGGCCCCTCCCAACCCAAACCAGTCTGGGATTTGATGTTAAAGGAGTCAGTGGCACCTTATTTATCATCTCATTTTGTTTACTCCTTTTGTCAAGCTCAGAGGGAATCTTTTCCAGCTTTTGTGTGTGTCTTGCAAGAATTTGATGTATTTCTGTTAACAGAAGCAGCAAGACCAAGCTGCAAAGGAAAGTTTGTTAAGAAGGGGGATTGGCAGGTTCTTAATCTGCATTTTTGCAGTAGGAGGATATGGTCCAAGGCAAAAGGTGCATTATTGCCAGAACTTCTCTGAAATTACTGCTTTGAGTTGAAATGCCTTTTGGGGATCAGGGAGGGAGAGAGACCTGGAAACCACATCAAAGCTTGAGGTTAGAATATGTTGGAGAATGGTGCCAAAAAAAGGTATGTCAGCACCAAAAATAACCCTAATCTACAGGAGAAGTCAAGCACTGCTTCGTGGGGGGATGGCAGAACATCTGGGGGATGTGGGGGAGAAAAGGTATTTTAGAAATGAATGGGAGATGTTTGGCGTGGGCTGGAGCCGAGATGATTCCAGCGGGTGAAGTGGTTTGAAATAGCTGCTTGCCTGAGGACCTGGTGAGGTTTTTTTTGATTTAATTTTTTTATTGCTGCATAAAGTTTCCCTGTGAGAAGCCAGCTGTGAGTTGGGGGTTACAGCCCTTTGGAGGGGGCTGAAATTGGGCAGTTCTGAGGAATTGTGGCCCTCAGTGGGTTCTTAACAGAGATCATTCCATGGCCAAACAGGGCCAGAGGCTGCTTGGGGACACTCAGATCCCTCCTTTGGGCGCTCTCATCCCTCCCCTGGGCCCTCACATCCCTCCTGCTTCCCTGTGTGATCAGCACTGCTCTTTTTGCTCGTAGCAACATGAACCGTGAAGACCGGAATGTGCTGCGTATGAAAGAACGGGAAAGGCGAAATCAAGAAATTCAGCAGGGTGACGAAGCCTTCCCACCCAACTCCCCTCTCTTTGCTGAACCCTACAAAGTGGTGAGTTCCTGCACCTCAGAAAAGTGCGGGGTTTATAACAGAAATCATCTGCAATTTCGTATCTCATTTTTATCTCTGTTCTTGAAAGCTCTTACGGCAACCAAGTGTTTAAGCAGGGCTTGAAAATAAAGCTGGGCAGTCACAGCTCCACTGACAGATTTATAATGCTTGGGAAGGGGAGGAGCCTTTATAGGGAGTGAGAAAAAGGAAAATAAAACCATCAAAATTTTTTCCTTCCTTCCTTCACCTTCTATACAGTGACTCAAAACAATTAAACTGTTCATTGTGTGCTGCCAAATTGCCATTTTTGGGGTGCTTAAGACTGTTGCTAAACTTTCTAACCTTTCATCAACATAATCCAGACCTGGATAAGTTCACAAAGAGAATGTTTAAATAGGAGGTTAATTTAAAATGCTGGAATGTTTGATATTACTATGTTTGACATAAATTGTCAGCTCTGGCTAGTGCTCCAGTAGTTTGTATCTGATGTTTTAGTTTGTTTTGAAGGAATTTATTCTGTCTGTGGTCCTGCACAGCTTTCAGCCTATGCTGGGTTTCCTTCCAGGTTGCTTTGCTGAACAGTACTGGAAAAAATAACCTAATTCTGGAATAACTAATAAAATATTATTTAATAGGTTAATTACGTAGTTCAAAACTCACTTTGAAAGCGCACCCTTCCCTTGCTGCAATTTCAGCTGGTTTGCAAGAAGTAAAACATGACTGAAAATCTCTTCCTGCAAGAGGAAAGTTGAGAAATACCTGATGGTTTTTTTGTTCCTGTGTTTGATAACCAAATTCCACATGTGTGAAGTTAACTGGAGCTGGTTGGGGTGCATGGGGGAACGATCCAGGATCCCAGATTTGGAAAACAAGATGGTTATAGAACAAAGAACCCTTTTAACTGTGTGCAACAAACATTGTGCCAGTATAAACACCAATTAAAAATGACTTACGGGGGTGAAGTTAAGTTGATTTTATTTTAGTGCTAATTAAAACCTTTTAGGACTGATGCATTCTGTATTAGAGAAGTTACAGTCTGTAAGGTGACAGGAGGCATCGGCAGCTTTGGAACTGGCATCCAGCTCAGCAGTGCATTATTTGATTATTGCTGCTTCAGCTATCTCTGCTGCTGAATTTTCAGTATGTTTTAGGAAGTTAAATGTGTATTGTTACATATTTTTAATATGTTTTAGGGGGTCAAATTGCTGTTTTAAGACCTAAAATTCAGAATTGGAAACACTGGCAAAGAATGATGTGTATTCTAGCTGAAATTCAAGTTGAGTGCTAGAAAGGGGTGTATTCTAGCTGAGATTCAGGTTAAGTGCTAGCAAGGGGTGTATTCTATGTGAAATTCAAGGTGAGTGCTAGGAAGAGGTGTATTCTAGCTGAAATTCAGGTTGAGTGCTAGAAAGGGGTGTATTCTAGCTGAGATTCAGGTTAAGTGCTAGCAAGGGGTGTATTCTATGTGAAATTCAAGTTGAGTGCTAGGAAGAGGTGTATTCTAGCTGAAATTCAGGTTGAGTGCTAGAAAGGGGTGTATTCTAGCTGAGATTCAAGTTGAGTGCTAGAAAGGGGTGTATTCTAGCTGAGATTCAGGTTAAGTGCTAGCAAGGGGTGTATTCTATGTGAAATTCAAGTTGAGTGCTAGAAAGGGGTGTATTCTAGCTGAGATTCAAGTTGAGTGCTAGAAAGAGGGGTACTCTAGCTGAGATTCAGGTTGAGTGATAGGAAAAGGTGTATTCTAGCTGAGATTCAGGTTGAGTGCTGTAGCTATCAGACCATTTAACCTCGTGTGAAGCTGTAATTGGTTCTAAATCCCGATTTTGTCTCGTTGTCCCAGACCAGCAAAGAGGACAAGCTGTCGAGCCGCATCCAGAGCATGCTGGGGAACTATGATGAGATGACGGATCTCATCGGGGAGCGGCCGCTGCAGAAGATCGTGGCCATCCCCAAGCCCTCGGTGCCCGCGGCGCCCGATGACAAAGCCGTGCCCGGCTTCTTCGCGGAGCAGCGGCACGGCGCGGGCTCCCACCAGAGCGGCAAATGGACCCCGGTGGGGCCGGCCCCCAGCACCTCGGCCCAGTCCCAGAAGCGCTCGCAGGGGCTGGGGGGCCACGGGCAGCGCTCGGGGGGCGGCGCGGCCGCGGGGGCCCGGCACGAGCGCGACTCCTACGGCGGGCGCAAGAAGGGCCAGCACGGCTCCGAGCACTCCAAGGGCCGCTCCGGCAGCCCCGGGAAGCCGCCGGCCGTGGCCTCGCTGGGCCCCGGGCACTCCAGAGCCCACGGCGGCGGCGAGCACCACGGCAAGGAGCACCAGCGCTCCAAATCGCCCCGGGACCCCGAGCCCAGCTGGGACTCTCCCTCGCGCGTGCCCTCGTTCGCCGGCGGGCAGCACTCGACCCAGTCCTTCCCCCCCTCGCTGATGTCCAAGTCCAGCTCGATGTTACAGAAACCCACTGCCTACGTGAGGCCGATGGACGGGCAGGAGTCCACGGAGCCGAAGCTTCCCTCGGAACACTACAGCAGCCAGAGCCACGGCGGCGGCGTCAACGAGCTCAAACCCAGCAGCAAGGCGCACCTGACCAAGCTGAAAATTCCCTCTCAGCCGCTGGATGTAAGTTCTGGCTCTGTCCTGCCTGCTTAAATGTAAATCCACCTGGGCTGGGATTTTCCAGCGTCTCCAAAGTCCCAATTTGCCTAACCCAAATGGAGTTTTTAGTAAACACTGTGTTTTTGTTACTCAGAGCACTTTCACCTAAGCTGCATTTTCAGTGGGGAGCATGCAAAAGTAATTGGTTTTGTCTTCTGCTTCTTCAGTGTGGATACTGGGTTTTTTATTAAATAAAGGCTGAGCCACTCAGAAAGGCTTACTTAACCCCCAGAGGCCAATTTTCACAGAGTATTTCTCTAGTCAGGAGTTAGGGAAATTGTAGGATATCCACAAATATTTTGACAAGCTGGGTAAATACATTGTTGTTTCTGGGAGCTGAATTGACTTAGAGTTGTTGATACAATATGCCTGTATCAGATTTTCTTTTGAAGTGAGTAGCAATTACTAGATGTGATTATTATACCTTCACACCACATTGAACAGGGTGCAGAACTTTTATCAGTTGTGCTGGATATGAAATACTATTGGGTTAACAACTTGGAGGAGTTTGGTAATTCCCAAACCATTAGGACACAGACTCTGACTCCAGCTCACTTACAAGGAGAGTGCCTTTGCTGGTAATAAAGTCTCATTTCATCTCCTGTCCAACTGCTGGAATCATGGTAGCCAGAGAAAAGCCCTTGTTCCTGGGATTGCAACAGATAGCAAAGTAAGATCCAGCACACAGGTAAGGAAATCAGGAATTACTTATTTTGTGAAGACCTGCCACATCAATGCTGATGCAGTGAATCCTTAACTAGCTTTGCTTCTTTGTGCTTGTGGCAGCCAGGGATGCAGAGGATTCATAGTTTGGTAATTATTGCTGTTTCTGGGATCTCTCTGTGATGAGTGTTCTACTTGGGAATGCACTTTGTCATTCCTGTGCATTCACGGTCCTGCACTTGAATTCAGATATTATCCTGGGGCTGCTTCCAGGAAATGACTGAAAGCTGTGGTTCTGTTTCCCCTCTCTACAAGTTTTTAATATCCCTGCCTGCCTGTGATCACTTTAACTGTCAAGTGAAAAGTGAGAGATTATTATCACAGTTTTATGGATGTCATGTATTTGCTTTTCATAACTGTGACTCATGCCATAAAAACATGGATCTATCTGATGTTAAAACTGATGAAAAGAGTTAGTAAGGGCTGTTTGTGTCTATGTAGAGTCCACATGAGTCACAATAAGGATTGAAGTTTGTTTTTAACTGTTTCTAGTCCCTGGAAAATCTGGGAGATGTTAATTTTGGGTTTTAATTTGCAGGCATCAGCCTCTGGTGAGGTGAGCTGCGTGGATGAAATCCTCAAAGTAAGTTCTTGGTGTTCTTGTTCCTACTTTGTTGAAAGTGCAGCCATTCGCAAGGAGGGGAAGGACTCTGCAGTGCCAGAGCCTGTCCAGGTGCAGGTGGCACAGGGGGCTCTCCTGGTGCTCCTCCAGCACAGGGGCCTGGGCCAGGCTGGGAGCAGAGCTGGCCCTGGGTGTTGTGGTGTGCACATCATCATCCCCTGGAGATCCTCACTGCATTCCTCCTCCCTGATAACCAGAACTGCATTTCTTCCACCAAATTACAGTTCTTAATCCTGATATTTTAGATTATAGTAAATGCTTTGCTGCCCCATGGCAGCACTTTCCTTCTCTCATACCTGGGTCCTTTTCCCAAGTCCTTTTACCCCTCCTGTGGTGCCCTGTCCTGTGTCTGCTCTCACAAAAGGATCATCAGGTCCCTCTGGAGCATTTCATGGCTTATTATTTCCTGTGACCTTCGGTCCTCCAGGGGCCTTGGGGATGCTCTGAGAGCACAGGAGGCCCTTTCCAGCTGCAGGCATTTGATTTCCCCCTTTTCCTCAAACTCTGCAGGCTTTCCTTTCCTAGGATTCTTCTTCTCACACACTCTGAAAGGGTCACGCTCTGACTCTCACTGCAGTTTATCTTCAGGCCAGCCCAGCTGATTGATTTATGCCCTGCTGCTTGTTATTATGTCATAACTCTCTCTTCTCCTGAGTAGCAATTTAACATTCAGGTTTACATGCAAAAGCTTTGTTGCACATTTGGGAAATTAAGATTTGAATATAAAGCCTAGTGAAGGGTGAACAATGAACTGAAATTGAGAGAATGCAGATTGCAAGTTGAAACCTGATTTATTTTGTTAATAACTTTGATTTTTGTTGTGTTTCAGGAGATGACCCACTCCTGGCCTCCTCCACTGACTGCCATCCACACCCCCTGCAAAACTGAACCCTCCAAATTCCCCTTTCCAACCAAGGTCAGTGCTGAATCCAACAGTGAATGCTGTTGAAAAAGTAACTTCAGTTAAAGATCAGGATTTTGGAACTCCTGCATTCAGTTCTGTATTATCTGGGCTTGTTTCAGTGCTTTGTCCCTCTTTATTTATCTTCACCTCATCTGTCAGCAGCAGCCTTATGAAAAATGTCCTTGGTTTTCCTCTGCTTTGCACAGGCAGTCTGCAAAGTTATCTGTGACACAACTTACCTTTTTAATTTTTGTTGGATAAATTCAAACTTTCAAACTTCAGAAGCTTGGAAATGCCTTTGAGCCCTTTCCTAACAGGGAAATGTTCTGCACCATTTTGTGTAGAACCAAGTGAGTTTCCTTCCATGTAACAAAACAGAGACTGAATGGTGAATGCTGAGAAATTTAAATGGGCTTTTCTGCATAAACTGAAATTTCCTCTTAGTTTGAAGTCCACTAATAGTTGTGTGAGATTTTCTTGCATTTTCAATTACAAAAAATTAAGACAGTTTATGAGTCACGTGTTTTACTGAAGAACTCAGTTGTTCCAAAAGATCCTCCTCCCAACCTCCTGTGTTCTTAAGAAGTGCTGAAGGGTTTAAGCAGTTAATTCCAGAGAGAAATCCACCTCTGCTGCTGCTGAGAGCTCAGGGCACGTGTCCAGGGGAGCTGCTGGGGCTGACACCTCTGAGGGGGGAATTTGCTGCTGCCCCCCCTGGGCTGGGCCTGGCAGCTCCGGGGCACACTCAGGGCACTGGGAAGGGTTTGCCTGGAAGAGCAGCTCTGCAGGATCCTGGAAGGCCAGGGGGGGAGGCAGCTGTGGGCAAAGGCAGCATGGGGAGCTGACTCACCCAGGAATCCATGCTCTGCTTCCTGGGGCTGCTGATTACCAGTAAGAGATTCAGCTCCACAACGTGATTTTTCTCCAGACTCAACATCTCTCTGGGCTGAATTGGGGTGCTCCACCCCTAACTTGGCAGAGCTTCAGAGTGAAGAAATTGCCCTGTTTGTCTTTTAAAAGTTACCTATGAAATAATTCAGACCATGCTCTCTCTGACCAGCTGCTGTTGTAGACATCACTTAATTGCTCTTAATTTCCTGTTTGATCCAAATTGCTCCCCAAAACAGAAGATCTGAGGAATAATTTTGAGAAGAGTTTCTCACTGAGGTTTCTACTGTCATCTCCCTAATCCCATCCTTTTATGTGAATGCTTTGACATGACCTTCCTTCAGCCAAGAGTTCCAGTCCCTGTTGGAAGGGCACATCCACAAACCTCCCCCAGACTGCTCCAGGTCCAGGTTCTCATCCTGGCTGGATATCCCAGAACAGGGCAGTCCTGCTGTCACCACCTCTGTGTGACCTGTCCCTGGTCACTGCTTTTTGCTTCTCTTCAGTATCAAAAAATGCAGAATTTACCATTCAGTTCTCAGCTTTACTTTGGAAGGCATACCTAGAAATAAATCCTGTTTTCTGTTTTCCTAGCATTAGATCAATATTAATCTTGCAAATATTACTTTCAGTCAGGGTTTATTTGTGTGCTATGTAAAACTGTCAGCCTGGAAATAATTCATACCTTTTCTTGCAAGGAAATTCCACACCTTTCCTCATCAACAAAGGTCCTTATTCCTCTGCTTTGAGTACTCATTCCTGAACCTTTGGGGAGATATTTTCCCTTTGCTTTTGAGCACCCTTGGCTGTGGGGCTGCTTGGTTTTAGTTTCCCTGGCATTTGCCTGGGTTTGAGAAGAGGAAGGTGTGCAGAAATCCCTGTGGCTGTGACCCAGAGGCCATGTAACACTGCACAGCTCTGGCAATGCCTGAACAAAAAAGAGCTTTTTCAGCCTCTCAACCTGGATTGTGTCTCTTCACCCAGTTTGCAAAAAATTCCATTTATGGCTGCTCTGAGTCTATTTGACTTTTTGCCAGCTTTTTTATTTTGTGGCTGCACATCTTAGCCATGGAAGTCTGTCAAATTCTCTCTCTGCATCCAAAGCCTATAATTTCCTCTGCCTTCTCCCCTCTGTCATTCTTGGCAGCAGCAGCTCTGCAGAATTCCAGGGAGTTAGTGAGCCATGGGCCTGTGCAGTCTGGGCCCAGAGCAGAATCCACCAAACAAAACACAGCAGTGGTTTGCTTTAATCAAGCAGTTCTGTTGGAGGAAAGCTCCTTCTCTTTAGTACTGTGCTCCATTTATTGCTGAAGTGTTTCTGAGCATTGCCCCTGTGGGCAGAGCCTGGTGTGTTCTTCCTGCTCACATTAAATGGAGCTGCCCTTGGTGGACCACTTGATTTTATTTGCCAGACTCTTGGGATGGGATCACTTTCCCTGTGTGTAGGGAGTGAGTAACTCGAAGGAACCCAACCTCCTGACTGGGGCCTCTCTGATTGCTATAAATATATCCAATAGTTCCCAGGAAGTCTTGGATCAGAAGAGAAAACTCCATGAAAATAGGTCAGGGAAAGTTTTATGGATGCTATGGAAAAATGCAGATTGCTGTGTCTTGATAAAAAATGCTATCCTGTGACCTAACACTCTATAACTTTATCCGTGGGCTCACAGTCAGGCACTCCAGCAATGCTGGCAGGGTTTCTGCAATGCACTGAGCAGCCCAGCTGCTGGCTGGGAGGGAAGGCTGGGCTGTGCCTGTCCCTGTCCCTCTGCAGGAGCCGCCTGCCCTCCCTCCCCTGCTCCTGGCACGCACAAAGGAGATGGGACCTGGGGTTCCAGGGTCACCTGGGAATGTCCCCCCCAGCCCTGCTGCCTCCTGTCCAGCTGGAGAATTCCTCTCTCCAGGTGGTTTTGTCAGTTCTTGTTTCCTGCTCCAGTGTCTTCCCTGTGTGACCTCAGTCCGTTCTGCTTTGCTTTAAAGGCTTTCCTTCCTCTCAGTTGTTGCAATTTCTTTCTGAAGCAGACCTTTGGAAGCTGCTGCTCTCAATAACCTGGGAGTTGAAAGTAGAGCTTTTTTTAAGTCTCTAGTTTTGTAAAGAAATATGTATCCAGTAGATGGCAAGGGAGTTGGAAAAAGTTGCACATTGAGCCATAACACCTCATTAAAGTGCACTTAGCTGAGAGCCAGTGCTGAGCCTCTGAAATAGGAAGTTGACTCAAGTGGGGAATTAGGCAGGTGTGCTCTGCACAATTCCCCATCCATGTGCTGCTGCAAGGGGTGCCAGTTCCCCATCCTGTGCTCCCCAGTGCTGTGGCTTTGGAAATGTAGAGTTTGAGGTCTTTATTTCTTTTCTCACTCAGTTTGTGGGCTTGGCTGAGCTGCCAGTGGCAAAAGGAAACCAGGGATTCCCACCTGCCTCTTCCCACCTGTGAAACTATAAGAAATGGATTTATTTTGAAGGGAGTGTGGCTGTTCACAAGGCTTCTCTCCATCTTCACTTTGCTCCTGAATTCTTTCTTAATATTGTTTTTATTGTCCCTTCCTTTCAGTTAGTAAAGATCAGATGTATTGGGAACACCTCCTAAGGAAAGCTCCTTAGGAAGTTCTCCATCCACAAAATTTTTGTTTAATGCATTGTTCCATTTTTGAAGTACAAAGCTGAGGGAAATTGAAAACATCTCAAGGGTGCTTTGCTGTGTAAAGCTTTTGTGTGTTTAAAAACTTCATTCTGTAAACTGTCTCTGGAACCACTGCCTGGCATTGGCTTGGTGTGAGGGAAAACCAGGTCACAGGTGGACCAGGAAAAATGGAATTCATTGTTGAATTGCGGTTCTGGTTTGCCATTGCCAGAGCATGTAAGTAAAACGTGTGTATACAACTGGAAATTGCAAATATTGGACTCCATTTATTTTTCTGGGGCCTTCAGTTGTCCTCATTTTGAAATGAGGTCAGGAAGGTCCTATTTTAAAAAGGCACTTGAGCCTGGAAGGGAGTTTGCAGTGGCTCAGTGGCCTCTGTGTGTTTGTTAAAACAAGGGTTGGGATTTCAGTAAAGTTCATCATCTGCTGTATCAGAATTGGAGTTGCTGAAATGGGAATACTGAGGATGATAAAAGTGCTGAAATCTGCAAGGTTTCCTCTTTCCTGGCTGGTGTTATAGGATATTGGGAATGAGGAATTGTTCCCTGGCAGGGTGGGCAGCCCTGGCAGTGCCCAAGGCCAGGTCGGAGCACCTGGGACAGTGGGAGGTGTCCCTGCCATGGCAGGGGTGGCACTGGGTGGGCTTTGAGGTCCCTTCCAGCCCATTCTGTGACTCCAAAATACCATTTCATTGTTTTTCTAGCAGAGCTGGCTGTTCTGGGCTGGAATGCTGTGCTGCCCACCCAGGCTGGGCTTCCTTTGGGGCAGAGAGTGCAGAGCTGGTCCCATTTGAAAGCTCCCCTTGTCCCTAGGGCTCCTTTGTGGCTGAGGAATATTTGTTGTTGAGATATTTTCCCTGTTCCAATTGCTGTGTGTGCCTGGAGAAGGAAAATGAGGAGGAAAGGGTTGGAAGGAAAGCACTTCAAACAGCAGCAGAGTTTGTATGTGTGTCAGGAGCATAAACAAACATCCTGAGCAGTTCCTCTCCATCCTAAACACACAGGAGGAGGGGATTTAGGGAAGTCACCCAGGGATTTGGGAGTTCAGCCCTGACGTGCCCTTGGGAACAGCAGGAAGTGGGTGAGGAAGAGGAGTGTGAAGGTCTCACCTGGGGGGGCCCAGAGAAAGAATCCCTTTTCTTTCCTTGTTGTTGTTTTTTCCCCTTTTCCAGAGATTGTGTCATTCATTATGTAGAAATAATACCTTCCTTGCAGCCTGGTTTTTAGTACCTTGAATTCCCACTGAAATAAACCCCCTTGTGATGTTTTATTCCCCCAGGAGTCTCAGCAGTCCAGTTTTGGCACTGGAGAACAGAGTGAGTACATGAAACTTCCTGGAATGTGTTGAATGTTTTTGTTGTCTTTCTGCTCTCAGCATCTCCCAGAATGTCAGGGCTTTTAGGAAATGAGGTTTTCCAGACTGCTCACAGGATGGAAGCTGACTTCACATTTTCTCTGCTTTCTCAAGTTTTAAGCTGTTAAACAGTTGCTTGATTTTCTTCTGCATTTCTTGTTCAGATCTTGGAGGTTATCACTGAGTGGAAGGGTGGTGTGTTTGAGGGAAAAGATGTATTTAAATTGATCCAATTCTGTACAAAATGCCTCTATAATTGATCTGAAAATAACTGACTACTAAACCAAAACACCTTAAAAAACCCAACTCCCTGATTAGGGACATATTAGAAACCAGAAGAGAACTTTTGCTTTTATTTAATGAAAAAGCACAGGGCAGTTTCACCATTTATTGTTACTTTGACATTTTAAAGTCAAGAGAGAGAACTGGTCAAGAACTTAAATCACATGCTATTGTCCTTGAGTTTCTTGCACTTTTGGACTTTGGAAAAAAGTAGCTTTTATTTCTTTAAACTGTCATTATTTTGAATATTACTGAAATGAACATGAAACTCAGTAAATATCAGGTAAAATTGAATTAAATTAGTGCTGTTGCCTTCCAAAAGTCCTTCCACTCCTCTTGAAGTGATTAGACAGCTTAAATAGTAAAAGAAGAATGGTTTATTCTTAGATATTCACAAGCAGCTTAATCTGAACACCTGATACAGTGAGGAATTAAGGAAACAAATTCAAGCTTAATTCCATGATGCTAAACCGTAGGCTCACGTTATGGGAGCAGCTGATCTTTAGGTGTGGAAAAGAAGAGCCAAGGTTAATTAAACACAGAGCCACTTTCCTGTGCCTGCTTGGATTTTCTGGAGAGCTTTAAATAAACAGCCTCAGTTCTTGTTTTTGTTGAGCTGCACCCAGTTATTTACCAGAATTAAGGAAAAGGGAAGGGAATTTATCAGGGTGTATTCCTGCTGTCAGAATTAGTGCGAGAGTTGGATTCTGGGCTGTGGGGTTCTCATCCATCAGAAGCTGTGTGTGTGGGGATGCTGGAGCAGTCAGAGCTCAGCAGGTGGATCTGTGTCCCAGATCCTGCCTGTGTAAGGCAAGAATTTCATCTTGCTAAGGGCAGAACAGTTTTCCACACCATTAATAACAAATTACTGTGTATTGGTTCACACAGCAATGATTTAAATGATTTTCTCTATTTTCTTGGTTAAATAATTTGCTGTATTTGATGTTTTGCTCTGCATCCTCCCTGCCTCAGCCTGGGGCAGGTGGTACCTGCTGTCCCCTGGTCCTGCTCCCTCCTGTCCCCTCACAGGGCCTTGCTTTGTCCATCCTTGTGGCAGCTTTGGGGGAATTCTGCTGCTGTGCCTGAGTGAATTTCAGCTGTGCTTTTCTTCTTTTCTCCTCCTAGAGCGATACAATCCCTCATCCAAAACCTCCAATGGTCATCAATCCAAATCGTAAGTGCCTGCTGAGAAAACATTTCACAAACAAAAGTTGTGTTTTAAGAGATTGAGGAAAAGGTGTGTGGTAGAATGTGAGTGACACTCCAGCATCCTTCTCCTTGGCTGGCAGAGAAAGGCTTTTTGGGACAATAAACCAAATATTGCTCACTGGAGTGAGTTAAAAACACCCTGAGCTGCCTTTCTGCTCCTTGGCTTTCCTGTCAGCTGCCAGGAGGGGAGCAGGAGTCTGGACCTTGGAATTGCCTTGGGAATCAGGAAGGGCATCAGCATGGGATGGGACTAACAGAGCTGGCAGCTGGAGACTGCACAAATTCAGGATGAGGAAAGGTTTTGGATTGGAAAGACAGAAAACTGAGTCTGGGATGTTATGAGGTTTGTTCTGCTCTCCCTTTAAATCCTGACAAATGTTTTGAACACAGACTCAGCAACAGAGGCAACTGGAATGTTCTGCATGGCTGTGGTCCACCTTTCTCAGACTTAAAAGTCAGTGATGTGCAGTTAAAAGATGGTTTCCAAATAAATCTGCCCATAAAAATAAATATTTACCAGTTTATTGTGACAAAACAACTTTAAATATATTTTTTAAGTGATTATGATCTGGTAAAGAAAACCCTTGAAAAGGAGATAAATGCATCATTTGTAAAATGGTAGCAATGAGCAGTAGTTCAGGAGTGGGCTCCTAGAGGTTGTGTTGCTGTTCAGATCAGCAGAGCAGCTCACTGGGAAACTCAGGAGAATCAGACTTTTAATTCTTTCTCATTTTCCCTCCACAGATGTGAATCGAACCAGACAGAGTAAGATGTTTTCTTTTTATAATCAAATGTTTCCACTAATCAGAAAGGCCCTGCTGTGTGTTTTCATTGTGCTCGTGCATTCTCAGTGTGTGGAGCTGTGTGTGTGTGACTAGCAGCAGTAATTATGGCTTTGGATGCAGTAATTAATGATGGCTCAGGACAGTGGCAGTGCTGCCACGGGACAGGAAGCAGCCACTGGGGCTGGCTTGCTTTCCTCCATCTCAAACACAATCCTTGCCCATTGTGTGTAAGGAGTTGTACATAACACAAGTTACCTCCTCCCACACCAGTAAATTGTGTCAGATTTCCTTTCTAAGTTTAAGAGAATGGGCTCAGGAGCCAAAGTACCTGAATCCTCATTCTTCTGTGGGAATGACTCAACTCTCCATTCTTAACCCTGAAATGTGTGAGTGCTGTCTGGTGGCTCTCACCCACGCAGCCTCTGCAGGATAAACAGTGCCATGTTGAAACCTAGCAGAATGCTTTGGAAGTAATTAAAGAACTTGGAAAAACTTGTCTCACTTTCTCCCTTTTCCCTTAGTATGTTGAAAGATGACTTAAAGCTCAGCAGTAGTGAGGACAGCGATGGAGAGCAGGTAAGTTCCTCAGGTGGCTTCCCAAAATTCTCTGCACTCATCCAGGGGCAGCCCTGGGCAGGGAGCAGAGGCCCAGCAGCAACCTGGGCAGCTTAGCAGGAGATCTGTGGAACTGAAATCTCCTGGAATGTTTTTAGACAAACCTCAGGCATTCCTAAATGTAACCTTGGGGAAAATTTTGTGCAAATTGAGATGTGGTGTTTTGTAGCAACAGTTTGCTTTTATCTAGAAATTCTTATTAACTGATTTCACATGGGCCTTCTCTGAGCATCAAATTACAATAATTCACTTTAAAACTTATATAGTGGCTCCTTAATTAAAGATAAACCCCTTTGTGTTCTGCCATCCTAGCTACAGAGCTCATGGTGTGAACATCTGTGTAAGTTGGTGCCCTGGGATGTTTGGGGTGACAAGGAGTCCCTGGGAGTACAGCTGCACCTTTATATTTATCAAAAGTCTCTTTTTTACTCTTTCCAGGATTAACTTTGTGCAGCTTCTGCCAGACTGGCACTTAACCTGCTAAATAAAAATAAAATATGTGTCTGTGCTGCCCAGTAACCCCCACTGCTCTGGGGTTTCTACTCAGTTCTGGTACTTGATTTTCTTCAAGTGGAAAACTTGAAGTTGGTGAACTCCACTTACCCTGGGCATCTCAGGAAAATCATTGTGAAATGCTGATTCAGAAAGGTGTAAGCAAGATATTAGTTAGTGGTAGAAATGGGAACTCTCACAAATGGAGTCAGAATATAGAGATTTGTGCTGAAAACTTAAAGAAAATAACACCACTTCTCTTACTGTATAAGGAAAATGCAGATAAATTTCAACTACTGCAAATAATGAATTTTTTTAAAATGAAAGGCTCTAAACCAAGATTTTGCAATTTAATTGTATATACAGCTTAAAATAGCTTCCAGAATCTTCATGCTCTTTTTTTTTAATTGCAGGACTGCGATAAGACCGTGCCAAGGAGCACACCTGGAAGGTAGGAATGAAATCCCTGGGGGATTGCGGCACATGGGGAAGTTCAGCCCAGTCAGCATTCCTGCCTTGGTCTCGTTTCCAAAATTCATCTTTGTCATTTGGCTTGTACTAAAGCAAAAGTGATGAGAATTTAATCAGTGATTAAATGGTAATAAACATAATATTAAATATTTCCTGCAAACAAGACTGACCGCTTTGGGAAGGGACAGCACCCAAAGGCTGAACTGCATTCACTTAGGCCGAATTTTCTCCCAAACTTTGATGAAAATGTTACATTCTGTTACTTCTAATGAAAGGGTTGGAAGGATGGACCTGTGCCTCGGGTAATGCTTGCTTTCCCCCCTTGTGTTGCAGTAATTCTGAGCCTTCCCAGCACAACAGTGAGGGAGCAGATAACTCCAGGGATGACTCGAGCAGCCACAGCGGCTCCGAGAGCAGCTCGGGCTCCGACTCGGAGAGCGAGAGCAGCTCCAGTGACAGCGAGGCCAACGAGCCCTCGCAGAGCGCATCCCCCGAGGTAACGCAGCCAGGGCTGCCCTGCAGCATTCAGCAGCACTGAAGGTCAGGACATTCTCACTGTTAGAGACAAAACACCGACCAACACCAGCTCACTGTCAGGCTGGGCTGTTGTGCTGCAGTTCCTGTGCTGCATGTGACAGTTCTCTAGATAAGCCCACATCTGATGTTTGATTTGAAGTGGTTCTTACCACCAGTTGTCTGTTGAAGAGCAGAATTAGATATGGTATCAGAACCCTAAAAAAACATGGCATCAAATATTGCCTGTTGGTAGCAGACAAAGGGAAAAATTGTGTTATTTGGGCCTGTATTTAATTTATTTATCATTTAATTCATTTATCAGGTTTTGGGTGTACCTCGTGCTTTGGTGTGCAGCATCATATAGCTGCCACGTGGAAAAGATGAAAGAAATGGGAACTATTTTATCTAACTCTGTTTTTCACTTTGTTTTTAGCCAGAGCCACCGCCCACAAACAAGTGGCAGCTGGATAACTGGCTGAACAAAGTTAATTCCCATAAAGTGTCACCAGCTTCTTCCGTGGACAGCAATATCCCTTCTTCCCAAGGCTACAAGAAAGAGGGACGGGATCAGGGTACAGGGAGTGGGTACACTGATCAAGGTGGATCCAAGGACTCCATTTCTTCTACACCAGGGAGAGATTCCAAACCCACCCAGAAGGGCTCGGAGAGCAGTCGTGGGAGGCAGAAATCACCTGCCCAGAGCGACAGCTCGACTCAGAGGAGGACTGTAGGGAAAAAACAGCCCAAGAAAGCAGAAAAGACATCTGTGGAAGAGCCCAGAGGAGGTCTTAAAATAGAAAGCGAAACCCCAGTAGACATGGCAACGAACATCCCTTCAAACAGGCACAAGGCAGCCACCAAAGGCTCCAGGAAACCCAATATAAAGAAGGAGCCCAAGTCTTCCCCTCGACCTACAACAGAGAAAAAGAAATACAAGGCTTCGAGCAAATCTGCCCAGAAATCCAGGGAATTCATCGAAACAGATACCTCATCCTCTGATTCAGATGAAAATGAGAGTCTGCCTCCTTCCTCACAAACACCCAAATACTCTGAGAGCAATAGGACTCCTGTTAAATCTTCCATGGAGGAGGATGACAGCTTTTTCCGGCAAAGAATGTTCTCTCCTATGGAAGAGAAAGAGCTTCTGTCCCCGCTGAGTGATCCTGATGAAAGGTACCCACTCATTGTGAAGATTGACCTGAGCCTCTTATCCAGGATACCAGGGAAGCCTTACAAGGACCCCGAGGGAGCCAAGGCGGAGAAGAAAAGCGCCCCGGAGAAGCACGGCCGGGAGGGCCAGAAACAGCCCTCAGACAAGGGCTCCACCAAAGGCAAGAGGAAACACAAACAGGTGAGCCCTCTGGGGACAGCTCCCTGTCCCCTCAGCCCTTGGGCAGCCCAGAGTGCAGTGACAGCTCAGGGCAGGGGCTGAGCTGGGCAGGAGTGGCTGTGCTGCCGTGTGTAGAACCCCTGCATCATCCTGTGTGCTGGTACACACATCTCCTGTGTGCTGCTACAGGAGACTGCTGGGGTTTTCTTGCAGAAACCCCTGTGGGAGTCTGAGCCCTGTAGCCAGAGCTCAGGGAGATCACAGATCTGTGCCTCTGAGCTCTGCATCCAGCCCTCTCCTGCCTCCCTGGAACCAGGCCCTGCTGCTCTGCAGGCCAGCTCAGGCAGCTGACCCAATGGGAAATCCACCTGGGAAAACCCCCAAAAGTCAGTTCTCAGCTGGATCAGCTCCCTGAGCCATGGAAATGCCCATTGCCAGGATAAGGGATGGGGCAGGACTGGGCCTGGGCCATCAGCAGCAGCAGCAAACATCTCAGGTGCCGCTTTACTGGGATCAGGATCATCTCTCCATAACAATACTGACTATTTCCCAAAAGCATTTCATCTTTTCAGCTAGAAGTAAGAGGCAGGAATGGCTGGGGGGCAGTAAAATGGCAGGAGTCAGTGGGGGAACTGAACAGAGGGGATACTCTTGGAGGGGGAATGTGAGAAGTCAATGCTGGTGTAATTTTAAACTGCTTTTTGAAAGCTCAGCACGGGGACCCTGTATAAAGGGCAAAGCTGGGGCTGTCAGCTGGGCTCAGTGATCCAGGGAGTCTGGTTTCCAGGAGTGTGGGGCCATGAGGCCCTGGGGAAGGGATTCAGAAACCCCTGTGCTGCTCTGATGTCCCTCTGACAACTCCATTTTACCCTGTCCAAGGGATCTGGCAGGGGTTGGAGGCTTTGTTGACATCTGCAGCCCCAGGATTGTGGCAGATCAGTCCCAGAGTCACTTGAGGAGATGGATCATCCCAGTTACAGCAGTTTCCCACTGAGGAACCCAAGTAAACTGGATCCCTGGCTGAAGTCAGTGTCCTGCAGGAGCCCTGAGATGTAACTGCAAACAGATTTATCCTGTCCTGTTCCTAACTGAGATTCCTGTTTTCTCTCATGAGAAATGAGCTGTTTTTGTAAAAAGGGAATAACTGTGCCCACTGCAGTGAACAATTACTTTTGCAGGTGTTGCTGTATAGCTCCTGATGTTCCTGGGAATGCACTCACACGTTCCAGTGCCTCTGAATTCCCTGACTTCTCTCTCTTTGGCCAGTTTTGCCTTTAAGCACAAATTTGGAATTACAGTATTAAAGATCTGTGCTCTCATATCCAAACCACAAAGCTTTGGTGAGACCAGTTAAATCCAGGATTTATCCCAGGAACCATTTAAGCAGTGCTGGTTAAATGTTGTGAAGCCTCAGATCCCTCTGCTGCTTCCTGAGGGGATGGGAACCTGGCTGAGGCAAGGACAGAACCCCTTTCCCCACCCTGCAGTTTAACTTTGTGCTCCAAACCCAAGTGCCACCCTTGATTTCCTAATTTCCTGGGTTTCCTTGATCACAATTCTCAGGTTTGCAGCATCAGTAGCAAAACTGGGGTTTGTTACCAGATGATTTATTCTGTGAGGCCCCATTTTCCCTCTTACTCACTGGATTGATCCCTCCAGTGCTCAGTGAAGACATCTTAGAAATTTACCTCCAAGACCCTGTGACCTGAGGATTAAATTGATATCAATACTTAGTCTTCAGCATCTCTGAGCTGACTTTAATAGACTGATTAGAGTTTACCCTTTCCTGGCATTGATCAGACACCTCTTTAGACCCCACAACATCAAATCTGTCTCCTGGTCTTGCCAAAGCCTTTGGCAGATTTTCCTGAGATTTCATGGTTGTAATTTATCTGTGCTGAAATGAACAACTTGGCTGTTGCTGCTTTTATCAGGTTGTAATTTAGCAGCCAGACTGGGATTTTCATTCTGTTCAATGTCGAGGTCTGGTAAGGATTTGTGAGGATGAGGATGGGCCGTGGTTCTGGGCTCTGTATTAACTGTGAAACACCTGCTCAGTGCTCTCTCTCTGAAATACTCCACTCTCAGCGATGTGTAAATGTGGATCTTTGCTGGATGTTTTTCTCATTTGCTTTGCTCAGAACGAGGATGAAAACAGAGCCAGTGAAAGCAAGAAAACGAAACTGGAAGAAAAAGCTCCCTCAGGACACAAGAATTCCAGCAGCAGGGAGTGAGTATCTGCTCTTCCTGCTCTGAGGGTCAGGGTGCCTGTGGAGAGAATGGTGCTCATCTTGCCCCCTTCTCCTCTCTCCCACCCCAAGTTTTCCTCAAATAATTGGTAAAATTTCGTTTTTTCTTGCCCTTCAAACAAATTTACTTCAGAGCTTCTACAAGCAATTGGTGGAAATGAATTTCCATCCCCAAAAACATTGGCCAAGGACAATTGTGCTCCTTAACAAAATGAGGTGACCCCTCCTGTGAAGAGAATATTTCCTTCCTGGTTTTCTCTGATACACAGTGGGGCTTGGGTTTGGTCTAGAGTCAAAATCTGTGCTTTTAAATTAACCCCATCTGGGAATTCTCTGTTTAGTAAGTTTTAAACTGGGAATAAACTCCTGAGCTGGCTTTCTTTGGGAAGCTGATGGCACTGAGCTTTGGATCCATGGATTTACCTCCCATCTCTGTGATTAGTTAGTGCAAGAAAAGTGTGAGTGATACCAAAGCAAGGTAATACAGAATGAGCAGATCAGTCCCGTTGTTTAATGTTATTTCTGGATTCCCCATGCTTTTTGTGACACCTGTTATGCCTTTATTTGGTTGATTTCTTGGTCAGTATTAAACCACAGGAGAGATTAAGCTTTTTTCCACTGCATTTTGAAACTTCTGTTTCAGTTCAGGCAATGAAAACTGGTATAATTGTGTCATGGAAAATATTCCTGTCCAGTGAGCAGTTGCCAAATTACAGAGGTGTGAGAAGCTGCAGCAGTTTGGATGCTACAACTTTTGTTTGCCCCTTCTGAAGTAAACAATGTCTTACTGTTTGTCAGGAAACAGCTGTAGAATGAATGGATAGTTTTGATTTTTACCTGATATTTGATTTTTTTTTCTTTTTTTTGCCTGACTGCCAGTGCAGCTCTCTAAAGGACATTTAATCAAATGAAATATGATTTTTCCAGAAATAATGTGTAAAAATATTAATGGTGGGAGGGCAGGAATAGCCAGCAGCATGGCTCAGCAGCCAAGTGAGAGTGTCCTGAAAGGCTGTGCTGGGGAAGGTTCCCATTGCCTGGTTCCAGAGCTTTATCTGGAGCATCTTTCCCTGGAGCTGTTGGCTGCCTGGTGTGCACAGACAGCCTGGCGCTGGCACCGGCTCCCACTGCTGAAATTTGGGAGGCTTTGGGATGGTTTTTGGACAGAACTGGTGCAGGGGTGGGGTTTTATGGTTAGGACTTGTCTGGCTTTGCCTGTGCTTTCAGGTGAGAGCAAATAAAATGGTGAAAACAAGTTCAATCTGGCTTTGGAGAAACCTACTCACTGAGAGGATTGTTCTGCTTTTCTCCAAAGCTAGGTCTGACAGTAAAAATCTTGGGGGGGAAAAGCTGTTTAGTTAGAGATTTAAAAATCAGACTTTTGTGTGTTGTTTTTTTGGGGTTGTTTTTGTTTGTTTTGGTTTTGTTTGTTAAGGAAGAAACCCAAACCCTGAGTGTGTTCCTCTTTTCCAGGTCTTCAAAGCCAAGTGTTGTTAAAGAGAAGGATTTGCTGCCCTCCCCTGCTGCCCCAGCCCTGCAGAAGGATTCCAAGCAGGAACACAGCTCCAGGAAGAGAACAGTCAGTCAGTCCTCATCCCTAAAATCCAGCAGCAACCCAGGCAAGGAGAGCAGCAGTGGCAGCAAGAGCAGCTCCTCCTCCAAGCAGAAGAAGACAGAGGGGAAGGGGTCCAGCAGTGCCAAGGAAGCCAAGGTAAAGGGCTGGTTCTGAGCCTGCCTCCTGGTTTTGTTTAGTTTGAACTAAACAATCATTTCCAGTTCAGTTTAAACATCATTAGTGTGGGATGTGCATTGTTTCCTGTCATAGAGCCCCAGTGCCTTGGAAGGCCATAAATGAGAAGACACCTTGGAGAGATCATGGAATATGAATGCTTATCCTGCCAGATTCCTGTGTTAGTAGAGGAATCTGGTGCTGCTTGTTCATTGTTTAGGTGGTTAACCAAAACATCCCTAGAAAGCTGGAAATGGAGCTGTGAGGCTGCTCTGGTCTCCTCAGAGCAGACACAGAACTTGTCCTGGTTTCAGAGGACAGCAGGAGCTCAGCCCATGCTCACTGCAGGGATGGGAAGCTCTGACTCTCATTTTATGACATTGTAGAAAGATTATTGCAACTCCAGCTCAGCAATTTACAGAGCTCTCCATGGCTGGAGGGGAGAAAACATGGTTATGGAGATGGTGCAGAAAATGATCTGTAAGAGATTTAGGTTGGGAAGATAGATGTGATGGAATTAAAAAATACAAATGCCCCCCGGCCAGCTGTTAATTTGTGATATGTTTGCTGTTTTATACTCAGGTGTGCTTACTCATGTCTTCCTCAAAGGAGTAACTACTCCTGTGTGAGTTTTTCAAGGCAAAGGCATTCAGAGAGAGTATTGTTGATAGAAATCCTCCAAATCCTCCTCATCTCTGTTAGAGTAGGAAAGCAGGATTTAGAAACAGTGACAGGTGAGATGGAGGGAGGGATTTCCTGCCCCTGGTGTGTCTGGAAAGCCTTGGCAGAGTTATGGGAGCTGAGTTATTCCCAGAGCTCCTGCAGCCTGTCCTGCCTGGAGGGAATGGGGAAGCCATGGGGAATTTAGACAGCAAATGCTCTTCTTGTAATCATGGCATGGATTTCCCTTCCAGGAAAAGATCCTGAACAATTCCTCCAGCTGCCCTCCTGCCTCTGCTCAGGCCACGGAAAGTGTGAAGTCGAGGAGAGCAAAGCTTGTTTTTGATGATAGGTAAGGACAGAAAATTCCCTTTCCCTCTGGGGGGCTCTGGATCTCGAGCACAGGCAGCTCCCATGGAGCAGAGCTGGCATTTTGCTCCACAGAAGATGTTACACACAAGCTCTTTGTCAAAAAAATACCTTGAAAAGAAAGTAAAATAAGTATTTCACCATCTTGTGCAGATTTGAGGTTTCAGTTGGGCCAATTCAGGTGTCAGCTTGCTCTGAAAGCACTTCTTTAAATTCACTTTACAGATGAAATTATGTTTGCACCAAATGAAAAATAACTTTCTGCTTAAGAACTTGCTTGAAATACTGTTGGAATTACCTGAAACCACAGAATTAACTTGAAACTACTTTTAACAATTTTTAGTTAAGTAAATTAACAGATTCCTTTAAACAGTTTTATCCCAGTGTAGCTTGAGTTAGAGCAGAAAAAGCCCTGAGATGTGGCAGCATTAAGGAGCTGTGCTACAAAAGGCAGTGGCAATGTTTGGCTCCAGTGCCTCAGTCCGTGCCCTCTCTTGCAGGACGTACTCAGCTGATCACTATTTGCAGGAAGCAAAGAAGCTGAAACACAATGCAGATGCTTTGGTGAGTGGATGTGCAGTGTCCCCCAGTGCGTGCCCTGTCCTGGGGCTGGTTTGCAGCCTGTGCCACGCTCCTGCCCCCCGGGCTGGCACTCCTGGCCCTGGCTGCTCTGTTCTGAGTGTTCTCCCTCCCTTGCAGTCGGACAGGTTCGAGAAGGCCGTGTACTACCTGGATGCTGTCGTGTCCTTCATTGAGTGTGGGAATGCATTGGAGAAAAATGCTCAGGAATCCAAGTCCCCGTTCCCTATGTATTCAGAAACTGTGGAATTAATCAAGTAAGCTTTGCAGGGCTCCTGCAGGGGCAGCTGGGTGGGGGTGCTCGGGAATCAGAGGTTTTGCCCTCAGTTTTTGAGATCTCTTGTCATTCCCAGTAACACTGGAGCAGTGACCAGTTCCTTCCAGTTGCTGGGGTTTAAAGCATTTTCAGGAAGGGGGAGGGGATTTCTGCTGAGGCTTCAAGTCCCTCTACAATGAGTGACCCAAAAGGAGCAGAATTATTCTGGTTACTGCTGAGTCAATGCTTTATTCTGGGCTGAGAGATGTTCCTAAAGCAGTGGGGACAGCTGAAACTGGAAATTCCTGACAACATGAGTGCTTTGTGAATGATAACTGAAGGTGGGTTTTGTTCTGGGGCTGATTTGCTGCCTTTCTCTGCAGGTACACTATGAAACTGAAGAATTACTTGGCCCCGGATGCCACGGCTGCAGACAAAAGGCTGGCAGTGCTTTGGTGAGTGTGCTGGGACTCCCTGCAGTGCCCTCCTGCATTTCACATCTGTAACCTGCACAAAATGCTGCTTTGCACTGAGCTCTGGGGTGTTCCTGAGCCAAACACAGGAGATTTCCCCTTGGCTGTGCACAAGCGTTCATCTGGGTCTGGTGGCTGTATATGGGGGTGCTGCCAACAAGGGCCAGCAGCGTGGAAGGGTGAGAGCAGGAGGTGCCTGCTGAGCTCTGAGGCAGGGCTAAATCACACCTGGGCTGGCTCTGGGGGCTGGCAGGAGCCCTGAGGCTGAGGGAGAGCCTGCAGAAGCTGTGGAGCGCCAGAGGTTCAGGGGGAGCAGGGGGCAGGCCCTGGCAGGGCTCGCCTGGCACAGGGAGCAGTAAATGCTCCCCTTGCCTGGACTGGCTGGGGGCTCCAAGCCCAGCAGCAGCACTGAGAGTTCAGTTCCAGCTCGAGGCACACGGAGCTGTTCCAGTTCTGGATTCCCTTCAGGATTTCAAGGTGGTTGTGGGTTTTCTGGTTGAGTTACAACTTGAGGGCTGAGTTGGCAGAGAGAACATCATGACCACAGCTATTAGATTTTTGAAATTCACGGAGTTGAGATAAACCTGACTTTAATTGTGACTGATTTGTCCTGTCTTTGGGCAGCCTTCGGTGCCAAGCTCTGCTGTACCTGAGGCTTTTCAAACTGAAAAAGGAAAGTGCATTGAAGTACTCCAAAACTCTGACTGAACATCTGAAGGTAATTGCATCTGTATTTTCTGAACATTAAAACCTAATGGTGTGGAAGGTCTACATCACTTTAAGTTCCCAAATCCAATTTCAGACTGCTGCATGTGAGCACCTGTTTAGAACTGGACTTGAAGGTTTATTAAAGCTGGGCAGAGCTTCAATAACCATGACCCTGCTGGTCCTGGCATGACAGCTCTGTTAATTTGATCTTCTTTAATACATGTAGTAAGCTTCAAGGAGAAGGTTGGTTTCCCTGGGTTTAGAGAAATTACCCATGAATTTATCGAATTTCTGTGCAGCTGATTCTGAAGCTTCCAGCTCTCAGTGCTGAGAGGAAACAGGCTCATCACATACCCAACCTCTCAGATTTGGGCTATCTTTAATTGTTCATTGCCAGTGATAACAGATTCTTTCTGTTAAAGGGCTGAAAAAATCTCAAATGTTCTCAGAAGGGGTAATGGACTAATGCAGGTTTGTTTTGCTAAAATAACCCCTTAATTTGTGTCTTGGCTATCAGTAAAAAAGGATATTTCCCTAAATTACACTTTACTGTGATATTATTGAGAACATTACTTCAAAGTACAACTATGAAAAAAAAACTTGGTTAAAAAAACCCAAGTAAACAAGCAGATAAAATGTAACTAGTGAAAGTATAAGTACAAATCAAGTTAAATGTGTCTTTTTCCCCATACAGAATTGCTACAATAATTCTCAAGCACCATCACCTGGTATGGGAAGGTGAGTGGCAAAAGCTGCTACTTCAATTTCTCAACTTAAAGGAGGTTTTCCATTTCCTGTGTGCCAGGGGCCTCAGGGAGCAGCTTTTGGGGTGGTTATTTGAAGGGTGTGGACTTTGATCCATTTTTTGTGTAATTGTCATGGTGGAGGAGGGTGCTGCAGCTCTACAGGGTTTGTCAGGGAGTTTTGGTGTTTAATTTAATGCTTCTCCCCCCAAACAAGAGCTTTGTTAGTGCTGCAAGGCCAGAGGTTACCAGCACTTGCAGGATTCTCTGTTCCATAGTTTAGCAATTACTTCTGCTCTTTTAAACCCAATAATGAACCTTTGATAAATTATTCCATGAGTTTAAGGGTGGGGCCACTTCAGATTTCCATTGTGTTATCTGCAATAATGTTATACAATGCAATATTCTGGCAGTGGAGTTACCAGGTAGCTGTAATTTTTTCTGAAGGTTCATTTAAGCAATAAATTTAAGATTTTATTGAATTCTGAGATGCTGAGGTTGGGTAATTAGGTTTTGTAAGCTATAAATAATTATTGGAGGATCCTCAGCAGTTCCCAGCTTGAGATTTCCATTTGTTGAAGGGCAAATGCTGATTTTTGGTGTAAAGTGGGAGTGTTTTCCCATCCCACACCTTGAGTGTGGGCAGAGGGATCTTAGGGGACATCTCAGAGCGTGGTGTGTCTAAAGCTGGTGCATTTCTGCCTTTCCATCTTGCCCTCTGGGTGAGCAGCAAACCTGTTGGGATGCCATCTCCAGTGTCTCCAAAGCTGTCTCCAGGGAATTCAGGAAATTACTCTTCCGGGGCAGCCAACCCTTCAGGGAGCGGGTCCTCGGTGACGATCCCGCAGCGCATCCACCAGATGGCTGCCAGCTACGTCCAGGTCACCTCCAACTTCCTCTATGCCACTGAAATCTGGGAACAAGCAGAACAGCTCTCGAGAGAGCAGAAAGGTAAGGGGTCAGGAACCCTCCCAGGCTTTGGTTCTGTTGATGGAGCCCTAGGTGCTGAACCTCTGCAAAATCAGGGGGAAAGTGACACCTTGGGGTGCAGGGATACCCCAGGCTGGGTGTTGTGGTTGTCAAGATGGTGTTGGGAGTTGTGACATAAAAATCTTTGTTGCGTTTCCTGTGAAATGTTCAGTGTAGGAAGAGGAACTTGATGCATTTCCCTTTCTGAAATTCTTTAGTAAAGGAAGTTTGGCAGTAGTTTAATTTTTTTCAACCAGAGAAATATAAGTTTTAGGGGAAAACCAAGAAGTTTGGCAATGGTTTAGTTGTTTCCAAGCAGTCTTGTGCAGAAGATTAGAGACCTGGATTAGGAGTGACCTTTCTCCTTGACTCCCACTCCCCCACCTCTCCTCATTCCCTTTCTCTCCGCCCCGGCGATGGCTGCAGGGACCTGGGGTTGGGTGTGGTTGCCCAGCGTGCTCCTTTAACGTGTGTTTGTGCTGTTGCAGAGTTCTTTGCAGAACTGGACAAGGTGATGGGGCCCCTGGTGTTTAACACGAGCATGATGACGGAGCTGGTGCGTTACACGCGGCAGGGCCTGCACTGGCTGCGCCTGGACGCCAAGTGAGGAGCCCAGCCCGGGCCAGCCCCTCTTCAGCTGCCTCTGATTCCTCTCCACAACACTGTGTCATGTCAATAAGGAAGACTGCCATAACACATTGCTTAGTTGACACTAAGAGCAAGGAATGCTTTCCCATGTCTCCCATCCTCATTTGTGTTTTGTGTTTTACCCCAAATCAGCTGGTTCATGGACTTCTCCAGTATTCCCGGTTTAAGTTATTTAAATATTTGAAAATTTGCTACATAAAAGTTGTAGTTTCGCTGATCTGTCGTGGATAGATCATTGGGATTCCGGTCACAATACATGAATAGTCAGTTTAAATCCTATTTATTTTAATTTTTTTAATTTTAATTTTGAAAAGCCCCCTTTGGGGCTGGTTTTAGCTATTTCTTCTTCCCTAAATTTCCCCTTTTGAGTACTTAGAAATTAAACCTAGACACTTTATTTAAGTACTTTGTGAGCTTTGTTACTCTGTAATGTCTTGTGGTGGTAGAGCCTGTAAAAGGAACTAGGGTTGATAGGTTCTAACGAGTAGGGACACCATACTTCTCATGCCTAATGCCTATGAGTCGACTAATAAATGACAACTACAGATTTATTATTGCAGAATTTGTACTAAATAGAAAAGTTCCAGATATTCTTCTACGTATTGAGATACTTCATTTAAATGAATTATAAAGAAATTTATATGGAAAAATATTTAGCTGGATCTGCCTTGGATTGTTTCCAAGGCAGCTTCAAGCCATCGATTAACACTATAACAATCACAAAACATTACAGTAATTTGCATTTAATGTAACGTCCAGGCAATGGTGTAGGAATGACCTTCAGTTTGATGGGTGCGATGCAAACAGGAAAGGCTTTGGAAAAGGACAATCTCGTGCTTTTTTGCATCTCTTCATTTCAAATACCTTTTGTTTCCGTGCTTGTCGCTGTTCGACAGTTACAAAACTGGGGAGCTTTGTGGTTCCAAACCCAAGAGTAGCTCAGTTCCTACCAGAACGGTCATTTGCATCTTTTCCATTGACTGAGAAACCAGGAATCTTTAGTAGAACTCTAGGTCCATTTTGTCCTCTTAGGGTCTGCTGGGTGATGGACACTACAGGCCGGCAGTGCAGCCGCCGCCGTGGGGTGGGAGCAGAGCTGCTCCTGCAGGAAGCACTGTTCTGTGCAGGGTGGATGGCAAACTTGGCTTTACCACGTGCTGATGAAGGTCCCGTTCATGTCACATAATGTCCACTCCCGAGGGGGCTGCTGGGTGCCACAGAGGGGTGGTGGAGCTGCAGGTGGCCCCTCTCCGAGTGCAAACCAAAGTACCTTTCCATGTGAGGTGCTTGTCTGAGTTAAAGGTTTCAAATGCTACTGCTTTCAGTTTTGCTTAGTGCCCCCAACATGTCTGGTGTGCCTTATGCCTTACTTTTAGATGAAGATTTTATGAACTGTTTACAAGATGTTTTACAGCAGGACCAGGTATACTGTATGCAGTGGTCTTCTGCAGTACTTGGGTAAAATTCCATTTCCTTTTTCAAAGTCCCGGTGTCTGTCACACAAACTGACTCATCGTGGTGGTCTCCTTCCCCAGAGTCCAACTCTGAATCCTTTGGAGTGAGATTGTGGAATGCTGCTTTGTTTTCTCTCCCATTGACCCCTTTATTCTGTACCAGATATGAACGTGCATGTTCAGGAAAATTATTGCACTAAATTTTTTGTGTAGGTGTAGTTAAGTGCCAAAATCACGGCAACCTCGAGAGAAGGAATAGAATTCTACGCTCCTTAGTACTGCAGTATGTCCTATGGGCTTTAAGAGTTTAGAAGTTTTGCAATTAGTAACCTACTACAAGGTAGCTGCATCTTCGTAGAGCTTCCTTTGCGTCCCAGCGTGTTTTGTACTTCCAGAAAAGCTTTGCTACGTCCGGATTGACAAACGGGGAACAGACCTGGGGCTCTCCCTGACTCGACTCTTCAGGTCTGTCGGAGCATCCTTTTTATGGAATCACTGTGCAAGGTCACCTTTCTGTTAGTCTTTGCTGTTGGAGACAGAACTCTGTACCCTCAAACTCCCCGCCGTGGGCATGGGACACTGTCAGCTGTGTTTCCTTTCCTCCTCTGAAGTGCCTCGCACACCTCTGACGCTGAGAAATCCCTTGGTAGAAGTTGCATTCGTGGGTGGGTTTGTGTGTAGTGCTGCACTAGCCAGCGTGGCTGTTCTTGGCTTGCTCCTTTGTGCACAGTCACCATTGCTGTCAGCAGGAATGGTGGCATCTCGGGGAATTTTTTTTCCTTAACTAGAGTCCCACAAATACCTTTTGGTGTCGCGCGAAGTCGGCCCCTTGAAAACGCATCGCTTATCCCTAGAGCAGTGGATCTTAGAAATTGGCTTCAAACAACCGGAAGGCTTTTTTAGCATCATGTCAAAGTGTGGGCCTGAGCTGGTTGGAAGTGTCCCAGCTGGAGGGTGGGCTCCATGGTGGCCTGTCCTCTGGAGTGCTGCCCCAGGCGTTGTGTCCGTGCGGGGCATCCGCAGGGCCTTGGGGATGGATAGGAAATGCCTTGTGCAGCTGGGGCTGGTGCAAACAGATCAGTTCAAACCTTGCAATTCCAAAAGCATATCTTAATTTGGGATTGACCCTTGTTTCCAAGAGGAAAGTTCTGCACTTGATCAGATTTTATAGCCAAAAAAAAAAAAGCAATTAAGTCCTAGGCTTCCATCCCTCTGCCAAAGCAGGAGGGCTCTGTCCCTGTGCTGGGCAGCTCCCAGCACCACAGGGGGAGTGCAGGTCACAGGAGTGACTAAGGAGGGACTCCCCAGTCCTGGCTTCCCAAATGATTCCCTGGACAGGGAATATGGATCAATACATATCAATGCTGTAATTTTAATTCCCTTGCTGATCATGGCCCCAGTTGGTGAATCTTAAAAATGGCTCAATCAGACTAGGCTTGCTCAGCTATCTGTGCTGTTTGATTTTGCTCTCAGACTTGCAGGTTCCAGGCGATAAAGGTGCAAACCATTTATAATTCCAAACAAATCTTCAGGACCCCAGAGTAAACCAGCCCAAGAGTTTTGTTTTGATTTGAATCTCAGCCATAAAGCAGAGCAGACGGATGGCTCTCCTTGGCTTCGATGGCAGTATGCAATTTGTATTGTATGTGTCTTTTAATATATATGTATATATATATGACTCAGTCTGTCCAAAGTTATATGTTATACTTGTTTTTAGATTATGGTGCAACTGACTATATTGATATATTATTTATTGAGTGCTGAGTCACCATCTTATTGGTGATAAATATTGCATATTATCCAGGAGTGCAATGTATATTCCTTTAGATTGCTGAGGCTTGATTGCTGTGGTAACAAAAAATGCCCTGAAATGTATTTATGAATGGCCCCAACACACAGAGAGTCAGAATTTATGGGAATGATGTAGCACTTGCCTGGGGCAAGTAAAATAAAGCCGTAGGCAGAGAATTATGGCGTTTGCCCAAAAGGCAAACTGCTGGAGAGAGAGAGAAACTACCTTTGCTGTATTTAATGTCATTTTCTGAACAGATCTTTGCCGTCACTGCAGTGTTTCCATTGAGGCAGATCCACAAGGGCCTGAGCAAGTCAAGTTTGAATTACCCATCGGGGAGTAAACAACTTCCAAATTCTTACCTTCGCGACAAATCCTTGGGTCAGGGTTGAAACTTCTCCCTGTGCTGTGTCAGTGTTCTGGAAAACCCCAGTTCCGAGCAGTGAGGTCAGTGCTGGGCATCCTGAGGGACAGAGAGGAGCCAGAGCTTTGCTCACCAACTCACCCAGGTCCAGAGCTGTTCCAGGAGGGGCAGGAAGGGGCAGTGGGGTCCTGCTGTGGCCGAGCTTTGGGGCTCTGGTGCCCCTGGGGAGGGAAGGGCTGCCGTGGCAGGGAGCTGGGCTTGGTGTGGCTGTGCCTGCCCTCTTCCATTCCACCTGGGAGCTCAGTTCCCATGGCTGTGTGAGCTGGGCTTGGTGTGGCTGTGCCTGCCCTCTTCCATTCCACCTGGGAGCTCAGTTCCCATGGCTGTGTGAGCTGGGCTTGGTGTGGCTGTGCCTGCCCTCTTCCATTCCACCTGGGAGCTGAATTCCCATGGATGCTGTCTGAGCTGGGCTTGGTGTGGCCATGGTTCCACTCCACCTGGGAGCTCAGTTCCCATGGCTGTGTGAGCTGAGCTTGGTGTGGCCATGGTTCCATTCCACCTGGGAGCTGAATTCCCATGGATGCTGTGTGCCCCTTCTGGGGCAGCCTGCCCCAGTCCCAGCCCTGTCCCAGCACCGGCTCCTGGCGCTGCCTTGGCATTCCACATCCCAAACTCTACTCCAAGGACCAGGCATGACTTTCCAAGCACAGTTCCTGACATTTGTATCTGGTCCCCCTTTTAAATTGTTTTAAAAAAATTTTGTATATGGAGGATAAAGTGCTTATATATTTATTAAAAATCCTTTATCTTATTTGAAATTATTATTTGGTGAAGAAGGGGTTTTTCTTTTGGGGGAGGGCTGGGGAGGGGAGGTAACTTTTAACCTGTCACTTATAAATGAAGCCCTGATTAATCCTACAGAAAGGTACTATTAGTAACTAATGGGATGTCTCTGTTTTATGCTTTGTACATGACAAGTCCATGTGTTACATTTTGTTTTCTATCAAAAGATTTGGGCATCTGTCTTCAACCAAAACCAGAAAAAATAGAAACAAACTGTGATTTTATTTGTTGCAATACATTTGAAATTTCAAAGGGTACTTTGGGGCTCAAAATTAGGATTTCTAAGTCAGTATGTGCATTTCACGTAATAAAGCTGTTAATGGTGAGCAAAGTATTATATACTAACTAGATTTTTTCCACATCTGTATAGTATATTCTATGTATTTTGTGGTATTGAGATTATAGAAAGTTTAGTGTCTGAAACATGCGTTTAATGTGTATTTTTAAACAAATTTATGGCAATTAAAATATTTGGAGAAAAGGGTATCACATTTCAATTTGTAAAGATCTTTTTAACTACTGTGTCATTAAAATGCTTTGTACAATGCAAAACTGTAACTGGAGAAACTAAGTTTAATAAATATCAAATAGATTTTCTGTATTAAACTTCCAACCCCCTGTGCTTGTATCTGTTTTGTGGGGCCTTCTTCTCCCTGGAAGTGCATTTTTAAGCAGTATTTTCTTTCATTAATCCTATTGCTCTGTGAAACAACTGAAAAGTAGCATCCAATGTGTGTGTCCAGATTTGTTGATATTGTTTTTTGTCTTTCAGCCTCCAAGTCGACATCCAACACATCAAAACAGCGTTTTAATCAATTCATTTTAAGACAGGAGAGAAGGTCAGTGGCAAAAGTCAGTCTAGGACATGTATTTAAGTAAATTTGATTAGAAGTAATTAAAAGTAAATAGTTGCCGTTCCACTTATTGCTGGATATATTTAGGATATTGGAATTGTTATCAGTATTATCAGTTTGGCTCCCTCTTTCCAACAGGGCTTTATCAGAGGGCTGATAAGAGCCAGATTGGGAGGGGATGGGGTCTGATCTACTTTAGCTCTTGCCAGGGGGAAGGATAAATATCCAAAGTCTGACTGGAACTGAGCCCCAGCTCTGTGCTCACCATTCACTTTGCTCAAGATACAAGGAAAACCAAACTGCTTTGCTGAATATATATTTTAATTCACACCTTCAAATAAATAATAGGAAGCATTACAAAAAAACCAAACGAGCAGGAGATGCAGAGTCCTTTTATTGAGCTTGGCCAGAGGCCTCCAGAGGCGTGGCTGGGGAGGAGATGCTCTCGAGCTCCTTGAAGTCCTTTCATCAGCACATGTGACAGAAATATCAAATACTCTGCTTGCTTGAGGCCCTTGCAGCTCCTGAGCAGTCAATAAATACATCCCAAGTGCATGGAGCAGGGTCAGCAGTAACAGTGCAGGCTGTGCTTGGTGCCAGCTCACGCCGAGGCCGTGGAGAGGAGGCAGCGGTTTTTCCTGGGGAAAAAAAACATCATGAGGCACTGAGGGCTGGGGCTGCCCTGCCAGGGGTCCCAGGTACATCTGTGTGCCCCTGTGCCAGCAGTGCTGGGTTCAGGCACTCTGTGTTCCCCTCAAGTATTCAGTCTTAATTCATTTTTTGGTCTTTGCTTTCCATCGGAATTCCAAGCATAGCATAGCAGCCCACCCACTCTGTCCTATTTACTTACTTATCATGATAATTTATAATATAAAATAAGCTTATTTATAATAATATTCATTAAGAATATGATATACAAATAGTATATTAGCTCTATATTATTATATACTATGTTATATATACTATACTATATATAGTATATAATCATTAATAATAGGACTGTTAATGTTACTGCTGTTTACATATAGTAGAAAATTATTTGTGCAACAGGTGCCATAGAAAATCACCTTTCAGTAAGTAATTAAGTAATAATTTTAACTAATCGATTTATATGTAGTTGGAGAATTTGCTTATGCCTAATGAGAACTAAATAGCTTTTGATATTGTAGTTGCTTTTTAAACTATGAGCTTAAATATAATCACCTTAAAGTGATTAATTTAGGGTAAGATATCAATACAAGCTTTTCACTTTTCGTTAGTACATGCTTTAGAAGGATTAATGGGAATGTCTATAAATTGCCCAAAAGCTGTCTGGAGCCCTTTGTTCTCTCTGCCCAGCCAGGTTATTTGGGGTTGCAGTGAAAGGACTGGGGCTGGCACTCGGGAGACCTGGACTCTGCTCTGTTTGTTGTGCTTACTAAAGAGTCTGAGGCTGTTACCCCATCCCTGTTCCTGGTATCTTTTTTTATGCGCAGAGCGACCTCTGGATCGCGTTTGGAGGAGCCCAGGTGGGAGCTGCTGCCTGCAGCAGAGCTTACCTGCAGAGCATGGTGAGGCACTCGCTGTTGTCCCTGCACGAGGCCCCGATGGGTCTCAGGGACACTCCTCTCCAGAAAGGCGTCATCCGCCGCTGCCGGGCGCTGCGGGGCCGGGGCTGGGGCTGCCTCGGGGCCAGGGACACGCCGTGGCTCTGAAACACAGCGGGGTGACCGTCAGCACACGTGGAGCTGCGGCGCTCCCTGTTCTGCTGCTGAGCTCAACAGTCTTCGTTCTAAGTGAGGCTCGACTTGGAATCGCTCTGGTTTGCAGATTGCAGCACCCTCTGGGTGAAGCACGGCTTGCAGCCCGACCCCAAAGAAATATCTACCCAAATTAGGGATGGGTTTCATCTTCTTGGGAGTGAAGGCAGAATCGCTGGCTGAGCTATGGCTCAGAGTAGCCCAGTATTCACTAGGCAGTAGCTACATTTTTATGATGCTGAATCCTGTAAAAAGCCCTGCTGCCACATCTTTAATCCTGCCAGTTGTCCATCCAAATCATAACAGCTTTTATGGACTGCCTGTCCTTTGAATTAGCCCTTTAAATAGTTTATTTCAGTATGGTCTCAGTTTACCTGGCTGAGCAGCAGTGAGCAGAGCAGAAGGGCTGCCATCACTTTCCACCAGTGCATCTTCCCAGCAGGAGCTGTCACTTGGAGCAGCCGTGGGCAGAGCAGGCACAAAGAGCTCCAGTCAGGACTTCCCAGACTGTCAGCTACATTTTTATAGACTTCATTCTCTTATCGTTACATCAGCTGCCAGATATTACAGGAGCAAAGTTCGCTTTGGAGCAAGAGGGAATTGCTAAGTCTACATCTGCTGCAGTGATCTGGTTCAAGGCCTGTCTCGAGCTAATGATTTACTCCCCTCCCACTTGTACTTTGTCTGGTCAGTTGTGCTGACCCCTTGTGCCAGCTGTTCCGTTTTTTAAAGCCCTCCTAAGATGTTACCAGGACTGCATGGTCTATTTGTAAGCAAAGGGGGGCTGGCCCAAATTATTGTGGTCAAGATCAAAAGCCTAATTTAACTTCTGTAGCTCTGAGTTAGCCAACCAGGGGAAAGGGTTGTATTACCAAGCTGATTTGGAGCAGAGAATTGTGCTTTTGATTTGTTTCTCGCTCTTGGTACATGAAAGAACCATAAGGAAGTTGCTTAACCTTTATTTCCAGGCACACAGTGCTCAAAAAGCAGGTGTAACACTTTCCAGCTGGGTTTGGGAAAATGTGTGATAACTCACAGAGCTCTTCCCCCAGGAATCCCAAGGTGTCAAAGATAATCATCTCTAGGTAAATAATGCAAGAGGCTGCTCAGGGCTTGTCTGGAGCTGAGGAGCTCCGTGTGCAGCCTGTGGTTTCATGGATGAGCCATCTCTGCCCCAGCTGTGTCACTCACCATCAGGCTTCCAGAAGTGCCAGCAGCTCCCATGGGGGTGGAGGGGCTCATTGAGAGGAAAATTCAGTTTTTCCATTGTGGGGTGAGATTGCAGCAGCAGAGAGAGAGGTGTGAGCACAGCCAGTGCCTCTCATCTCCTCTCCCCTCTGCCTACACACCTGTGCCTGTCCCAGTGTCTCGTGGCTCCTCACCTGTGGGATCTTGTGGATCTCGTTGGATGGGGCTTGGAGCAACCTGGGCTGGTGAAGGTGGGGGGACTGCAAGAGCTTTAAGGGCCTTTCCAACCCAAACCATGCTGTGGTTCTGCTGGCACCCACCTCTGTCAGGCCAAGACATCTGAGATTGCAGAGTTATAGAGATTTCCAACCTCTGTCACTGTGTGCAGGTTTTGGAACACACTGTTTGAATTCAAGTAAATACAAAGTAATAAGTGTATAATGAACTGTTTTAGCTAAATTGCAAACGCAGATCTGGATGTCACAGGCTCTATTTCTCTGATTGCTTAATATGAAGGCACACAAGTGCCAGCGTGGAGAGCAAGTGACTTGGATTAAGATAATGCTGCGATGTCAGATGATTACCCCTTAGCCCAAATTTCCCTGGGATGAAAAGAAAAACCTTCCCAGCACAGTGTACAACATGATTCAATCATTCCCATCATAGGATGGTTCTTACACACCTTCCTCTGCCGTATACTTGTTTTGCTTTTCTGGGAGGAGGAAGCAAAATTTTCATTATTTCACCTTCTTGGATCTTAAGGGAAGGAAATGGGACCGTAAATCATGGCAGACAAGTAGCTGAACCTAAAAAGTTTATTTTATATTTGAGGGGAACTTCTCAGTTGTTTTTCCCATGGAGTCCTTCCTTTTCATGTAACTGATTCTAATTTCTGCCATTTCCATCAGGCACTAGTGCAGAACACAAAGGAGGACAAGCAGCATGAGCAGGAGCCCTGACTGCTTCCATGAAACAGGATTTGGAAGAGCAGCAGAGCCCTCTGTAAGTCATTGTCTCTCAGCTTTTCTGGCTGGGGAAGGCTGGTACTTTGTGATGATAAATCAGAATTGTTGTCTGTCCCTCTGGGTCACTAATAGCATCGGACTGTCCCTGTCAGGCAGCAAACTGCTCTGTGTAAGAAACTGGGGGGAAGAAAAGAGTATAACTGAGCTGGTCCTTTCCATGCCCTCAATTCCCACAGGCCAGTAACACCCCACAGCAGAGATACGAGAAAAGAAACACAAAATGTTGCTCTGTTGCCACTTCTAATAATTGCCCAAAGGAGAACAGAAATAAATGAGTGAAAACTTCTCAAGCCCCTTGTTCAGATTCTGAAATGCCCATGGGTTAAACTCCCACTGCCACTGGGCTGGTCAAAGCCATCCCAGCTGGGAATGGGGTCTGCATCAGAGGTGGAGGTTGGCAGGGCAGGATTAGGATGGGTGGGCACAGTTGCAGGATGGCAGGGGAGGGTTGGCATGGCTGGGAAGGTTTGGGGTGGGTGAGCAGGGTCACAGAATGGCAAGGCAGGGTCACAGGTGGCAGGGCAGGGTTGGCATGGCTGGGAAGGTTTTTGGTGGGTGAGCAGGGTGACAGGATGGCAGGGCAGGGTTGGCACAGCTGGGAAGGTTTGGGGTGGGTGACAGGATGGCAGGGCAGGGTTGGCACGGCTGGGAAGGTTTTTGGTGGGTGAGCAGGGTGACAGGATGGCAGGGCAGGGTTGGCACGGCTGGGAAGGTTTGGGGTGGGTGACAGGATGGCAGGATGGCAGGGCAGGGTTGGCACGGCTGGGAAGGTTTTTGGTGGGTGAGCAGGGTGACAGGATGGCAGGGCAGGGTTGGCACGGCTGGGAAGGTTTGGGGTGGGTGAGCAGGATGGCAGGGCAGGGTTGGCACGGCTGGGAAGGTTTGGGGTGGGTGAGCAGGATGGCAGGGCAGGGTTGGCACGGCTGGGAAGGTTTGGGGTGGGTGAGCAGGATGGCAGGGCAGGGTTGGCACGGCTGGGAAGGTTTTTGGTGGGTGAGCAGGGTGACAGGATGGCAGGGCAGGGTTGGCACGGCTGGGGAGGTTTGGGGTGGGTAAGCAGGGTGACAGGATGGCAGGGCAGGGTTGGCACGGCTGGGAAGGTTTTTGGTGGGTGAGCAGGGTGACAGGATGGCAGGGCAGGGGAGGGCTGGGCAGGGGAGCAGCAGGCTGCTGTGGAGCAGCTCGGTGCTGACCCTGTCCCTCCGTGCTGACCCTGCCGGGGCCGGCGCGTGGCCGCGGTGCCGCTGCCCCTCTGTCCCCGTGTTTGTGTTAGTCTGGCCCCTGGGCCAGGCACGGTTCAGCTGTCTGTGAGCAGGAGCAGGGACCTCGTGAGAGCCCTGGCAGTGCTGGGACAGCACACGGTGACAGAGCTGCCGAGGCACAGCTGCACAGGGCTGGCACTGAGGCCACCCCTCTGTGGCTCTCAGAGGCACCGTGAGCAGGACACACGTTCTGAATGAAACAGCTCAGGGAGAGGGATTTTATACAGGCACACAGTGACAGACTGCCAGGGTTAGATGGGACATTGGGAATTGTTCCCTGGGAGGCCCTGACACACATTTCCCAGAGCAGCTGTGGCTGCCCCTGGATCCCTGCAAGTGTCCAAGGCCAGGCTGGACAGGGCTTGGAGCAGCCTGGGATAGTGGAAGGTGCCCCTGCCCACGGCAGGGGTGGCACTGGATGGGCTTTGAGGTCTTTTCTGGGATAAATCTGCCTCTCTACATCTCTGCCAGCTCACAGCCACAGCAGCCAGTTTGTTGCTCCCCACTTGCTTAAGCTGCCTAGAAAATACCAGTGACCCAAAATGCAGTTAAGCACAGAATATTTTTGGGACAGCTTGGGAGCACTGGCTGATTGATTTTATTGCTACTTATGCCAGCCTCAGGCTGTGCTTGGAGGAAAGAGGCTGAGCTGGGTCTCACGTGCTCTGGTCCCCAAAATACTCCAGCACTGAGCTATAAAAATTGCATGGCCCCAGCTTCCTGAAGTGAGAGCATCATTGTCTTCCTGACAGCCCAGCCCTGAGCACACAGGGAAACGTCATTCCTGCCCTGCAGATAAGATAAACTCCCAGGACAGCTCCAGGAATAGCACAGCAGGAACACCAACGTGTTGCTCTGCATGGGGTGGGAGCTGGAGGCAGTCACTGGAACATTGGGAAGAAAAAATTAGGATAAAGGAACCAGCCAGGTGTTCTGAGCTTCCAACAGTGAAGGTGTTTCTACGCTCAGAGACACAGGATGAATAAAGTTGACACTGCCTGTGTCAACTTTATTACCAGCAGCTGATTTTAAATCATCTTCAGGCATTTAGCAGTCTTGCTTCTCCTGGCAGTTTTCAAGGTTCTGATGCAGCCTGTTACCACTGATCAGATATCAGAGTGTAGTTAATTACCCAATTAACAGTAGCATAACTAGGTAATTAGAATCATAGGATCAGAGAACAGCCCAGGTTGGAAGGGACCTTGGCAGATGAGCTGGTGCAGGATGTGTGGGAAGGGAGCCCAGAGGAGGTTACCTGGCACCCTGTCCAGTCACCTCCTGAAACCAGCAGGCTGTTCCAGGGACAGATTGTCCTCGCTGGAAAAAATTCCTTTGTTACACAGAGATGGAACCTCTCCCGGTGCAGCCTGTACCTGTTCCCCTTCATCTTCTGCCCGGGGCTCCCATGAAGAGCGAGCCTCCAGCCAGAGGTCAGGGTCCATCCCAAATCCCAAGCCACCAGCCAGCCCCTGCAGCTTTAATCAATACCAAACCAGGGGGTGTTTGTTTTTCACAGATCTCAAGGCTGGAGGAAAAGCAGCGGCCAGCGATGGGAAAAATAAACGGGACAAGGAACAATTTCAAACCAGCCCTCGTTGCACTTTATACTGAGGAATATTTCAAAGAAACAAGAATTACGGAGGCTGGAAGTGCTCTAAGATAAAACATCCGAGCACATGGAACTTCAGCCTGATTATCTGCCTGTACAGAGAGAACCAGACAAGGGATTTGATGCTCCTCACCTCAAACAGCTCAAGACATGGATTTCACACACAGTCATGGGGCAAAGTTACAGTTTATTAGCCAAGGCTTATCTCCCTGTTAATCCCCTCCGGCCATGGGAACGAGCACAGCAGGTCCCGGGGAGCTCCGGAGCCACGTGGGCACTGCTCGTGGGCACCGGGCACTGCTCGTGGGCACCGGGCACTGCTCCTGCTCAGGTGTCGCACTGGTAGTCAGCCGGGTTCTTCCTCTTGAGCCGCTCGAACTCCTGGTTCCCCCAGGAATAAATCAGGTAACCGATGGCCAGGGCTGCCAGGGACAGAGGACAGGCACGGTCAGGGGACACCACAATGAGGGGACACTGCTAGAAAGGGACACTCTCCATAAAGGGACAGTGGGACGACGGAACACTGCTCTAAGGGAATAATGCAGTGAGGGGACACTGCAGGAGGGGGAAATTCACAATAGTGGCATACGATGCAGTGACGGGACACCTAAAAAGGACACTGCAGGGAGAGGACATTGGAATAAGGGGATTTCACCACACGGGGACACTGGGAGAATGGAATATTCACAATATGGGGACACTGCAGTGAGGGGACACTGCACCGCGCACAGCACCTACCTCCTGCGACACAACAACATCCCACAACCCCCACCCTGCCCCAGTGCTTCCCCCTCCCCAGATCTACACTACGAAGGAGGTACAAAAGGGAGGGAATCCCCCCCTGTACTCACGGGGCACCACCTTCAACACCTGGGAGGCGAAGCGGCGGGCCACGTTGGGGACGCCGTGGGACAGGACGTTGGGGAAGGCTTGCTGCTCGAAGGGGGACAGGCTGTAGGAGATGACATGGCGCACCCGCGCCAGGTTCCCGAAGTGCTTCCCCATGGCTGCGGTGTCCCCTCGGTCACAGCGCAATGGCCGCCGCCCGCCCCGGAACTGCCTCGGCGAGGCCTTCCGGGGCACCGCGAGCGGCGCTTTCCGTTTGTAACAAACGGTAGAGGCGGTGAAATACGTGTGTGATAAATCACAGCTAGACTAAAGTGTGTTTTTAACGGGCGGTTTGTAATAAATAATGTGCGCCGTAAACGGGCCCTGCTCTGAGGGGAAGGGGGGGGCACGCGAGGCACCTGCGCCGAGAAGGGGGGGGGGGGGGGGGGGGGGGGCGCCGTGCCTCAGAGCGGAAAACCGCCAAAAATAAATAATGGAGAAAAACCCCCACTTTTGTGTGGCGATTGTGGAGCTCCGATGGAAAATAAATAATGGTCTGAAGAAAAACCCACTTTTGTGTGGCGATTGTGGAGCTCCGATGAAAAATAAATAATGGTTTGAGGAAAAATCTACTTTTGTGTGGCGATGGAGGAGCTCCAATGGAAAATAAATAATGGCCTGAGGAAAAACCCACTTTTGTGCGGCGATTGTGGAGTTCCAATGAACAGGGGAAGTGTCTGAAGCAGAAAATCATGGAATTATGGAAGAGTTTGCTCTGGAAAAGGCTTTTAAAGGTTAAATATCCTGCCCTGCAATGAGCATTATAAACAATATTGGAATTATTATTAGAATGTATGAGACACCTATCACATAACTGAAATTACTATTAGACTATATCAGATATCTTCACTATTACTGGAATTATTTATAGAGTCTGTAATTATTAGACTGTATTAGACATATTCCATATTATTCGAATTACAGAATATATTCAACATCAAACTTATTTAAATTACTATTAGAATATATTAGAGAACTTCAACGCTATTGCAACTATAATTAGAATATATTAGAATTATTGTATCAGCTTCCACATTAACAGATAATTGTTAGGATTACTGTAGTATAATTAATCATCTTCCATATAATTGAAATTATTGGAAGATACTAGAATTGTTAGGCATATTTAACATTATTGGAATTATTATTAGACTAGATGAGAATGGTTAGAATATTAGACATTTTCACCTTGATTTGAATTATAGTAGAATTATTAGACTGTATCAGACATTTTCAACTTTGTTTGGATCATTATGCTCTATTAAACATATTTGCCATTATTTAAACTAATATGACACTATATTAGATTTGTTAGAATATGTTAAACATCTTCAACATTGTTGGAAATATTATTAGAATATATTAGATATTGGTATTATTACAATATATTACACATTTAATATATTATTATTGGAATTATTATAGTATATTAAAGATATCCATTAATGGACTATTAGAATATATTAGGATTATTGGACTACATTAGACATTTCACCATAATTAGAAGGATTTGTCTCAGGAAACAATTCCATTTATTTTCTTTTCTGGCAGGTGAGCAAAGCCAAATTCCCAGAGTCTGAAGGGAAGAGCAGAAGTGATACACTCCAAACTGACCCAGCTGCCCACAGTGCTGGCACCAGGATGGTTTTATGTGACACCAGGGTTCTGTTTGGAGCTTTTAGTGTCAATGACTTGGATTTCAGCAGTCAGAGACCGAAACCTGGAGCAGGATGTTCACTTTTCGGGCAGATTTGTGCTCCAGGAGCTCTCCAGACAGTGCTCCATCCATGGGTTCAGTGACCAGGTGAACCAGAGTGACACCACTCAGCAGTCCCTGCCCTGCCAGGCTGAATTCCCAGCCTCTGGAAGAGCTCAGGATCTCAGGTAGGGGCTGGTCGGGTGGCTGAGTGCAGAAAGTTACACCATTTATTTATTAATTCATTAGCAAGTCAATGTTAAAGAATGTTCTGAACAAGTTTTACAAGATAGTGCTGCTCCACAGCCTTTAATTAGCGAACAAACAAGAAAAATGCCCACTAAAGCTGAGATGTTTGTGTATGAACCCCAAGTCCAGGAGGAGAAAATAAATCATAATAAATCAATTACAGTAAAAATTTGGTGTGAAAGCATCTCGAGTTGAGGCACTTGTTACCTACAGTTTCATTGTGAGAGGAGACAAAGCTGCAGCCTCACATTTCAGAATATTAAACCCATTGAACAGCATTTACATCAACACGTTCAAGGCTTTTAGAAGCCATTTTGGGGGATTAAGCTTTTTAAACAATTCTTCCTACTTCATAAGCCAGCGGCAATGTGGCTACAATGGACAATGCTCTGCCCTCACCCCATGGACAGCTGCTCCTTATTCTTGAATAAAGGAAGCCTCACCCGATGCCAATTGTTACCAAAATAGTGCCTAAAGTGCTCACAAATTACCCACAGCTGCCCTTAAATTCTCACCCTTCTTTTAGCTGAGAAAGCCCAAAGAGTGCAACAGAAGAAAAGCAAAAAAACAACCTTTTAATCTTTATAGAACTGTGAGGAAGGGTTTTGTCACCCTGCTTGGAAGAGCTGGAATGTGGGAGTGTAAGAGAATGAAAAACTGGAGAAATAATTCTGACATTAAAGACTTTCTCCCCTTGCTAGTCATTGCTGGAGATGCCACACACAAGGTTTCTGCAGAGGCAGAGTAGCAGGCACTGCGTGTCAGGGTACATGTGACAGCCATTTATTTCTCTCTTTTTTTCTTAAATCTGTAATAAAGCAACTTAAAAATAGACATTTAATAGTTGAAACCTTTCCCCCGTTTTAAATGCAAAATTCTCCCGATAAAAAGACACTATTTACATTTAATTGCACATTCTAGAGAGGCTGAGTGCGTACAAAAACCAGTGCTCTGATGTGAACCCCCTGATGCTAACTCGGTGCTAAATCCCAGCTCCTGGAGTTACAGTGGTCGTAGCTACAGCACCTTGAGAACGCAAAACTAAAAGCTGTGTTCGGGGCGCACACCCAGCCCGAGCAGAGCCACTAGCGGCAGGTGCACCTGGTGGCGATCATGTCCTCGTACTCCTTGTAGGCGATGGAGCCGTCGGGCTCGATGGTGAGCACGCTGAGCGGGCTGTAGGCGGCGGGCACGCACGAGGGCCGCGGCACGGCGGGGTCCAGGCGCTCGTAGATGAGCGTCTGCACCATGGTGTGCACCGGGGAGCCGTAGCGCTGGCCCAGGGCGCGGGGACAGTCCCCGCGGCAGAACTGCGGGCTGTAGCGGTGCGGGGCGATGATCCAGCGGTCCCAGCGCAGCTGGCTGAAGCTCAGGCGGAAGTCGTGCAGCTCGCACTCGTGCTGAGGGAACGCGAGCTGCTTCAGGTTGTGGGGCGAGGAGGCCGGGGCCGCTTTGGGATTCTCGTTCCTTCGCTGCCGAGAGGCCCTTTTACCCTGGCGATTGCCTTGGTCACCCCTTGGAGCATCCACCTGCGGGCTGCCGCTTTTCCTCCCGTGCCCCAGTGAGCTCCCCCGGTGATAAGCTTGCTCGCTGGTGTCGTTCAGATAGAGCAGAAGGGAAGGGGGAACCAGTGTCACATTCATAACCTTTCCCAGCTTCGTGCTCCCTTGTGGGTCACCCATCAGACAAGTGAAGTTCAGAGCCATGTGCACGTTCCTCCTGTTCGTAGCAATCAGAGGCCGGAGGAAAGAAGTCACATCCATCTCCACCCATTTGCGTTTCCTAACGTCAGAGTGCAGGCTAAAAGCTAAAGAGTGGGAAATGCTGGGACAAACTTGGCTGGAAAAATCATGTTCCTTAAGGGATAAATGGCATATGCAGGTAATGGAAGAGGAAATGGGAACAGATGTGTCAAAGGAATAGAGCAAGACAGACTTGAGTAAGTGCTCCAGAGCAGTAACACGATCCAAGCTGAAGAGTAAATCCACCAAGTGAGCATCTCCTGGGAAGGGAAACAGATTCCTGTAGCGTTAGTGTGTCTTATTTTTCCACCTAGACATAAATACTGTTGTAGTGGATAAGTAAAAATTATTCAGCAGCATAAGAAAACTATTTCAATGCCCTTCCTTACATTTACTATGTGAAATTTCTACTTTGGTCAGGGAGATATGAGTTAAAAATTAAGAAGCAAAGAAAGCTTAAAAAAGCTTAAAAGCTTAAAAAATTAAGAAGCAAAGAAAGCTTTAAAAAGCAAAGAAAGCCCCTGGTTTTAACAGTTATTATGATTCATTTCTTTAAAAAAACCAGCACAGGAGGAAGTCAGCTGTTGTCTTCTTTAGCGCTGGTGTGGGGTAACAGGAACTAAACACTCCAGATGATACAAACCATGAACCCCACCTCAAAGGGCTGTTCCTGTGCAGCAGCACAATGCTTGTGTTTATCTGTCTTTCTATGAAAAACCTGAGCCAGGAGAACTCAGGTCACCTCAGCAGGATTAACAACCAATGATTTCTAGGTACTGTTGTTGTGATCAGCCCACATTTAGGAAAACCATCCAAGCACCATGTTACAGTGTGCCCAGCCATCCCAGTTCTGAGCCTGATTTATGAGTAATTCTACTCTTCCCTTCAGGGTTTGGTCATGATTCTTCTCTAGCAAATGCATCAGGCAAAGAGAGCAGTCTCTGGCAGTGGGTTCTGGCAGTTTGGTACAAGTCTCATACCTGTGCTGTAGTTCTTTGAAAAAAGCAAAGCCAAGATGGGCTGTAGAAGGAAATGTACTGCCCCTTATGCCTCAACAGCTTTTCTACTTTTCTTACTTCACTGAGATCTGCTTGTGGCTTTTTCTGACTCATGAGGAGATGAGTCAGCCTGAGACATCAGCATGTCTTGTACATACCACTTGTGTGGTGTTCCCCAGCCTGTAAAGTCTGTACCTAATGCCACTCCAGGAGAAGTAGGCCATGAAAAACTCCCCCAGTTTAGGAGAGCCTCCAGGACTGAAATAGCAGCAGCACTAAAGGAAGGCGGTATTTTTATCCGGTGCTGCCGGCACAGGACACACAGAAACCCCGCGTGCCCTCCCCAGCAGTGCCCACCTACCTTTGGCCAGGGGCGCGGGGCTGCGCTCGCACTCCCAGCTCGGCGTGAAGAGCCGCACCGTGTTGTAGAGGCGGCCTCGCTGCGCCCGGGGGATGCCGTCCCGGGTGGCAGACAGCCGGTACAGCCTCTTCATGTACCGGAGGGCCCGCGAGTCCGGCTGCAGCCGCGGCGCCTCGCCGTGCCAGCCGCGGGGGCCGCGGTCGTGCAGCACCTTGAGCAGCGGGGGCAGCAGGGCTGGGGCCGCGCCTCGGGGCAGCTGCAGCCCCGCGCTGAGCTGGCTCTCGGCATCCTCGGGAGCCCCCAGAAGCCCGGGGGTCACTGCAGAGCCCCCCCGGCCCCGAGAGCGGGGCGAGCCCTGGGTGCCTGCAGAGAGCCAGGACAAGCAGCAGTACAAACAAACACAAACCCTCCAAGTGCGCTCCATGCTCTTGAGGGCTGCGGATGAAAAATCACCTTCCCTCAAGTATTCGAGGAAAAACAGCAGCGCCTGAACCCCATCCCTTATATAGGTTGCAGCTGTGGAATGTGAGGGAGGTTTCCTTCTGATTAGGAAACAAAGAGAAAGATCTGCAGCTGGTCCCTGAAACCACAGGTTCAGTGGGGTTGGGCTAAGCCTTGGCCCTGGCAGCTTATTATAAAGAAATACTAATTCTGAGTTAACCTTTTTCACATGGGGAATTACAGGCTGGGAGCGAGTGCCAGCCCGCAGAGGGAGCTGGGGAGGCGTTAGTGCTGCCTGCTCTAATTAATCCTGCTTTATTTGCAGGAATATATAAAGCTAAATATTACTGCTCTTAGCCTTTGGCCCCTCTCTATATGCTGGTGGAGTAGTTTTACCAGCTCTGAGCTGAACAATGCAGCCCCCAGCTGCTCACTGGGTATAAAGTTGGGGGTTTTGTTAAGGAAGAAGCTTCGAGGCTGCTTTGAGAGCATCTTACAGGTAGTTTAATTTAGGGGTTATATCAGACGTTCTCCCTCTTGCCTTGGTGTGCTGCAGTGGAAAGCTGATTATGCCAAGCTTGTTACTATTTCTTTCAGCTTCCCTGGTGTATTTTCCTGCCTGACAAGCTCTTGTTTACAAGCTGGAGAGTAAAGAAAGCCCTGAAGAATCAAAAATTGTGAAAAAGGGAGAGTCTGCTGGTGTTACCTGCCCTGTTTGCTGCCTGAGGTGAGGTTTTAGGTCACCTGCTGTACACCAGATTTGAGTTATTTTTTCAGAATTTTTTTTATACTGGTCTCTCTTGCAGGGTCTCTGCCATGGGGTTTCAGTTGTGGCTTTAAAGTAGGAGTAAGGAAATAGTTTCTCATTTAGTTGATGTCTTGTTTATTTTACATTATTGTTGGATGTGGTTAAGGTGCAAGTCTGGTGCTACAGGCTCCAGAGCAGGGGGACTGGAGGTTTTTTGTGATTGGGAAATACAAGGTGTTTGCAGAAATCCCTTCTTGTCTAACTGTGTTACTTGGTATCAAGGCAGGGGCCCGTTGTGGTGAGTCAAAAAGGTTGCTGAGTTTACTCTGAATTACTGAATTTACTTTGAATTATTAGTAGAAGGTATATGGAACAAAAAGCAATAACCCCAAGCTTTAGACAGCATCTGCTCAGTGCTGGCAGTGGCTCACTGGTGATTGGGCTGGTTCCCACTTCCGTCTTCCCAAAATAAGCTCTATTTATTTTTATCTTAATGGGTCAGGGCTGCAGCTCCTAAGCAGAGCTAATGGTCTCAAGGGCATCCTTTAAGTTTAAACAGGGTTTTGACTCATTTTTATGGGGGCTTTTGGAGAGGGACAATCACTCTCTGTAGGCTGCTTACGGGCTTCCAAACTGCTTTTATGCAGGGCAATAAAAATTACTCAAATCACCATCCCACAGTAAGACTGGGGGCCTGTTGGGTGGAAAAATGCTTCTTCCTTCCCATTAGTATCTCCCCAAAACCCCAAAGCACTGACACTCATCTGTGGTGAGGCACACTCCCATTGTTACTGCTGGGTTTTAAGCTGCCTCCAGCCTTGGTGTGAATTTCAGCTCTTCTGGCATTTGCTGAATCATTTTATTTGGTTACAAAGTCGTGGCTGCAAGGTCAGTGCCTAACAACGAAACCAGTGAGTTCTGAGAAGGTAAACAAGGGGAAATCCTTCCAGGCTGGGACACAGCCCTGCCCTGGGCCGGGATCTGATTGCTGCCCACATTTATGCACTCCCACATCTCCTCCACAGCACGTGCACAGCAACAGCAAAGGGTGAATGAACCTTTAGGTGACTTTGTCCTGCAGGATTGAGGATGGCAAGCCAGATATATTTATATAGAAATAAATGATTTATCGCGCTAGTGATAAGACTAGAAAAGCCTTAAACAGAATTATTTGCTACCTAGTATGGGTAGCCAGAACTACTAATATAGTACAGTGCACTAGTTTTGAAGCAAAACTGAAGCATTTATATTAAAGCAGTTTTATTGAGGCAATTATACTAAAGACAGCAAAAAGTATTAGCTAGAGGATGGTGTTACTCATCCAGACCAATGATTGTGGTGGGCAAATCTCTGGCTCAGCCCTGAGGTGTGGCCTTGAGGGGTGTCCCCACTCCAGGGAGGAATCCCCACAGACTCTCCAAGAGGGGTGTGTTGGAAAACCCTCTGTTAAACAGTGGGCCTGGGCTGTCAGGCAGATGTGTCTGGGCCAGCTGTGCCAGCTCAGCAGCTTTGGGTGAGGTGTCAGTAGCATCACTTGTTTGTTCCTTTGTCAGGCACTTTATCATCTGCCACATTTTCACCTGGCTCCCAGGATGTTTAACTTTGGGATCCATGGGTCAGCCTGGTTTTGACATTATTCACTCCAAAAGCAGCATGAACACCTTCTCTACTCACTGACAGCTTTTCAAGCAGGGCATTGTTTGAGTTGTTCTCCTCCCACTCCAGGCAGAGCATCCTGAGCAGGGGCTGCACCCCCAGCCCACACCTGTCCCTGAGCCAGCCCCCTTCTCTGGGGACACCACAGCTGTCACAGCACAGAGGGGACGAGATCTGCTGAATGCCCCCTGCAGTGTCTCACTGACACAAAAAGCACTGAGTCTCAGGCTGCTCTGATTCTCTGTGCAGTTTGTTTATTTAACAAATTGTGCTGCCAAGTGTTCTCAGCAGAGCTGTCTGGGACCCCGGTGGAGCCTGGCCTGGCTGTGCAGCACAGACAGATTTTCCATCAGCCCCGAAGGAGCTTCCCTTCCCAGCAGTTTGTCCCCACAGTGCTGAGCTAGGTCAGGCTCTCACTGCAGACTGGGCACAAAACCACCCTGAGCTGTGAATTCCCTGCTGCTGCCTGGAGCTGCCTGGCAGGATTGCTGTGTGTCCCAGCAGCCTCTCGTCCCTGGCCCGTGTCACACCCACCCCAAAGGACAGGTGCCATGGGGTAGGAGCAGGGTCAGCAGAGGAGCTGTTCCTTTCCTCACCATCTGAGGAAACCACTGTGGCTTCCCAGGCCCATCCCACTGGCACGGCAGCAAAGCCCAGGAGAGCTTTCACCTGGTTTCCTATTTCACATGCAATGCCTTCAGCCTTTTGGCCCACACCCAGGCAGAGGGGCTCAGCACGAATCTGGATTCTTACAAATTCATAGAAACAGGCAAAAAGTGAGAATTTCTGTCTGACCCATTTCCAGAGCAGCCCTCGCAGCAGTGTCTGGGTCTGTCCCAGCTGTGCTCACCCCAGTGCCAGCTTTTCAGAGCAGCCCTTTTCCCAGGGAAATGCTGCTGAAGACTGCAGGGGTTTGGGAAGGGCTGTTCCCCTGGAGGTTGTTCAGTGCCAGGGAGCTGGGGCCTGGCCCTGGCTCTGCAGGAGCTCGTGGGACTGTCAGCACAGCACGAAAACAGCCCTGTGCTTCCTCAGCCGAATGTTCCCAGCCCTCCCAGGAGCATCTAAACTGGCCCAGCTCACAAAGCCAACTGTGTACAGACTTCATTTTTACGTTAGATCTCTTCCCAGCAAGTGCCAAAAGCGAGCACAGGGGAAAGCTTAAAAATAAACCGTGACAGCTCTGAGAAGGATGAATCTGGGCAGAGCAAGGAATGACAATCCCAGCATTCTCCTGATCAGCTGATGTTCTGCACTGAGCAGTAAGGATTTAGTGGCTGCAGGGCAGGGTTTGGAGCCCTGCCACCAGGCACACACCCATGAGGGATCCTGGTGGGGCCAGAGCAGGAACCCACAACCAAAGATGAGTCTGGTCCATACCAGCCCTGGCAGCATCCCAGAGCATCCTGCTCCAGCCTCAGCTGCTGCTCCTGCTGTTCCTGCCTTACCTGAAGCAATTGCTGCGGCGTTGTAATTATTTTCCAAGCTTAAGACAAAATCCCAATCCTTTCCCAAGACAGAAGCATTCCTGCCCTGCCATCCCTAAGAGGAAGTTGTGTTTTGTAGTGCACATCAGCCTGAAGAAGTGCCAAGGTACAAATTTGCATTTGCAGAGCTGCTGCTTCATGGCTTGGTCCTTAAATTCAAGCTTGGAGTGATTCAAGTGAGTTTCCACCCCTAGGACAAGATTTTCTTCCCTTTAATGCTCTGGGATAAAGTGTGAAAGTTGTTCCCCAGTTGGATCAGCGTTACCCGTTCCCTGCTTGTGAGGGCAGCAAATACAGCAGAGAGGGGCAGCATCAATCCAGGCAGCCCCTGAGCCTCTTCTGCAGGACTGTGAGGGAGAGGGAGAATGGAAAAACTCCCTGAGCATCAAGAGCTTTCCAGCCACATGTGCATAAAAATCCCTTCCCGTGCCACGTGACCGAGGAAGAGGCACAGATCCATTACACAATAATAAAAATATGCCTTTGGCAACGTGCAGCCAAAGTGGAGCTGCTGCAGGGAGCTCAGACTACGCACGAGAAGGAGTAAAACAGGAATAAAAAGGACCAAAGTCAATCCTGCACAGCCCTCCCAGGACCTGCTGGCAGCACGGGGCTGTGGATCTGCAGCAAAACATCTGCCTGAAGCCCTGGGGGCTGCCAGCGCCTGTCAGGATCTCACTGAGGAGATCAGGCTGGTGAGTAGATCCGCTTTTCCCTCCTCTGCCTCTCCCTCCTCTTAGCCTTCACTTTGAAAACTTCCCAAATAAGGTCTAAGTCACTGAGCACTCAGGTTTCCAAAGCCTGCACAGGAATCCATAAAGGCAACAGCTGCCAGTTAAAGAAATAGCACCATGAGGGAAACATTCCTCAGCTTTTGCTGAGCTCCCACCTCCTTCAGCCGGTCCTGCACTGGGCAGCTGCCGAGAGGGTTTGAGCTCGGGTTAGGAAGGGTTTGGCGCAGGAATTCCTGGTGTTTGTGCTCCAGGCTAGGGAAGGTTTGGCACAGGAATTCCCGGTGCCTGCAGCCAAGGACAGAAGGTGCATCCTCTGCTTTCCCTCCCTTGCTTTGTGCAGCAGCAGGGAGCACATCAAACC